CTTGAGCGCCGCTCAGCATCTCGCCGTCGTAGACCGAGCTTTGTCATGTTTGGCAGAGCGCCTTGAGCGCCGTGTACAACCAGTATGGATCAATTAACCAATTGATCCATATATAAGGCGCTCCGGATTATGAGACGCACTGTCGTTTTTTTGAGAAAATTAAAGGCTTTAAGTGCGCCTTATAGTGCGGAAAATACGGTACAAAGGATGATACGTAGGCTAGAGACTAGCTTGGGTTTAAACATCCAAAATATAGGCTTGAGGCGTAAGGTGTGCCTGGCATTCTGTTACTAGGCTTTTTGTCTCTAGTCATTATGTCTGTCTTGTGTTTTAGGAATCGGGAATCAGGAAACATTTATTGCCAAAATCTGTCAAACATACAAGGAATTTGTCTTGGCGGTTGGTGCGTGACAGTAGACACAAAACAAACAATAGACAACAAGACAGCAGTGCACAAGTAATACAATAAAATGAAATGCTAATGCAATGGGTTAGTAACAGGAAACATAATTAACAACAAAAACAACAAAAAACGAAGCGCACCGAAGCACCGTGGCAGCCATCATCGGCACCATCTTGGATCTTCTGGGCTCTGGTCATTTTATTTTACAGTCCTTCCATTGCCCGATGCTTGGATTGTTGACTTCCTGATCATAATTTTTTGCAGGAAGTATTTGTAGTACTTCTTGTGACATATCATTCACATACTCTTTGTCACCCTGGGAAGGAATTGTACTGCTACATTATCAATGTGTATCTCATATTTTGGGATGGATGGATGAAGTTTTAGATATGAACTTCCTGATGACGAATCTTGATGAATGAAAAACGGAATGTGAGTGGCATTAGGATCTGGATTTTGCCCCAAAGGCTGAAGGACTAGGTAGATTGGTCTGCTTTGCTACATTTTTAACCAAACACTTGTCGTGTTGTGTGTGTGTGTGTGTGTGTGTGTGTGTGTGTGTGTGAAGCATTCATTTGCCAGTGTGCATGCTGACTGAAGCACCTTTGAACCTTTTACCTTAGTTGTGTTACTAACATTCTCTTTTACAGTCCCATCCCACAGTGATGGTGGTGACAGGAGTGTGAGTGTGTCCTGTAGGGATCATGAGTTGGGACATTTTGATTAGTCCTCACGTTGTGCTGGTGTGTAGTAGACGGCTTTGTTTGTGGGCTTTGTGCTGATGTGTTGCTCCTTTGACCTGTAGGAGGAACCACTCAGTCCCACCGAGGAGGCTCAGAGGCGCCTGATGAGGATCTTCAGTGCCCCTGTAAATCACCCCGCTCTCTGTTTATTGTTCATGTCATGGTTTGGCTCTTTATATCTTTGTCGGCTATGGGTGTAACGATTCATTTTAACAACGATTCGATTCGAATCGCGATTCATGGTTGCCGATTCAATTCATGGACGATCTGGGTTGATTTAGAACGATTCGATTCGATTCAGTGACTTGAAATCGATTCAGTAACTTTACTGGACGGTGCAGGCAAAGTTTCTGAGATCCCTGTTGTTTCTTGTAAGGAAATCAGGTTTAAATTAATTATGGATATTATAAACAAGCAAACAGCAATTGATGGCTTATGTATAAACCTTTTATTTGAATCAAGTGCCATTTTCAATGTAAACATTACACAATAATTACACAATGTTCGGATCAATTTACAGAACCCCGGATTTTCAACCACATTATAGGGTCGCATGTCTTTACAGATAAACTTGGCAATTGTTACTGTGATGTTGAGTTTGGTGCTGGCGAGGCCTGAGGTGTCTGCAGAGCTGGAGTTACCTTCTGCTGCTGCTGCAGCGGTAACGCTGCTCGAGGTCCTGACTGTCGGCGTTGTTTAATCCCACGGCGCCTTAGTAGATGGCCGGAAAGATTCCTCGTGTTTCTGTGGTTTTTTATTTGGCTTCTACATATTCATATGTAGAACACCTCCGTGTTTGCAAAAGCCAAAATGTTTCCACACGCTGGATCGATAAGTTAGTTTGTAAATGTCTTGCTCGCAGTCGTCTCCTCCACGCTATGTTTTGTTGTTGTTCAGAGTTTCGCGCGGCTGCCGCTGCGTACTGATGACATCACAGACAGGTAGACTGAGTCGAGTAACGTTTAACGTGTCTAAAGTGCTAAAAAACAAACAAACAAACACACATCCATACAGTTTTTGTGCTTAAATCCAATGTGCAGTTTCCAAGTATCGATACAATCGATTATGTACCATTTCAATCGATTTGTAATCGGTATATGTCGTCCGGAATGCCGATTTGCGGAGCACAGATCGATTCAGTTGGATCGCAGGAATATAAATTGATTAATTGATTCAGTGGATGAATCATTACACCCCTATTGTCGGCCCATGCCAACTCTCAACTTCTGTGCTCCTAAAAAAACATTTAGATTAAGGATTAACACTTCCCCCCAAGGTTAACAGCTCGCGACCCACCAGTTGAGAATCACTGGTTCAGTGTGTATATTTACTGACACACGGTTGAGGAAAAAGTCAGCTGACTTTAACAGAAGAAATGTGAGTCATGATGGATTGTAATACTTCAACGTGATAACTCTTACTTCCATTGCGGCTGTTAAAATTTTATCTGAGTTTTCCAGTTGAAGATTTTGACTCTGCTTCTTCGGTGGACTTATTGGAAATGTTCCCAAACAGAGAGGTATCCTGTGTTAGTCCTGTAATATTGGGTATCCACGGACATCTTGGATGTCTTTCCAGTCTTTTGGCTAAATGTCTAATAAATAGACTGTATATGTGAAGATAAAAGCGGTAGACTGATAAATCTAAGTCAGCCGTGTTCTGCAGAAGCATTGTGTTTGTTCGACGGTGTCCAAAGTGGTGCTCTCTCGAATGATCTTTCGCCCAGTATGGACTTTACAAATCTGATAACATCTTGAGTTTGTATCTAGGTTACCAGTAAGTTACTATCTAAAGGTATGTCACTAGGTGATACCTGTGACTTGCAAACTACTAATGTGCAATGACTGTATATGTTTTAACTGATCTCCGCCCCATGGTTACTTACTGCTAAGCATTTTCACTTTTCCATTGCGCTTTAATTTGTCCATGCTCTTCTCTTTCTTCTTTTATGCACTTTATTTTCTTCCTCCAAAGATCTATGTTGACGTTGTCTTCTCCTTCATGCTGTTGTCCTCTGTCTTTTCTCCACATTGCTCTTGTTGCTTGTCGCTCCTTCGCTATACTTCTTTCTGGCTCAGCTGGAGCTGGCAGTCAGCGTTCCGTCTTCTGTCCAAGCCCCCCCCGCCCTGCAGTCCCAGGGCCTCCCCCAGGTACTGCAGCGCTGCTGGCTGGAGTTTGTGCTCATGTGACTTGTCAGTGTGAGGCCCCGAACCCTCTCTTCGTCTCCCCTTTTCCTGGTTTCTTATGTCAACATCTATTTTAAGATGTGACCAAACACAAGGATTTAATCCAGTCACTGTCCACCTTTGTGGAGCCTAGTTTATATAAGAGAATTTTTAGTCTTTTAGTCTAAATATTTTTAACGACTTCATGTCAAGCTACAAATAAGGAGAAAGTTGACATTTCTGCATTTGGCATGAAGGGAACCGCATTTAAAAGAATTGTGTTAGCGCAACCGTTTGAGAATAATTATGTGATCTAACCTCTGTTAGTCCAGCACAGGTCTAACTAAGTAACTCTGTGGTGATAAAGAACTGCTAAATCTACACGCTGGAGCTATTTGTTGACCGATGTCTGCTAGGCGGGATAACTACAAAACAAAACCACAAGTAGGGTCAACGCATGGTGATCCCTTTGTTGGGTGACAAACTACTGCTAGAATCCTCTATTGAAGGTGCCTCGAGAGTCGTTAGAAGATCCATTTCTTTCCTTTTAGCAGAGCCTGACGGGCTGTCAGGTTGAGCATGTCCATAATGTATCTTTGTACTAGAAGCACAGATGGAAGGGACAATTCCTCACTGGTTATGGGTGCGGTAATACACCCAAACTCCTGAATTTGACTTGCTAAAGAGTCTTCCCATGAGGCTGATGGAGACAACCTGCATGGGCTTTGTTTTTTTAGCCATGCATGTATGTGGTTGGCTTAATGGAGAGGTATGTGTTTGGCTAATTATTACATTCAGTTGCTACCTTAATATTTTTGTTGTGATGCAACCATTTTACTCCATGGACGTTCTAAACAACTAGCCGGTGAAAGTGATACATTAAAGAGGATTTATCTTGAAGAGATCACACTTGAACGGGATTTCTGTCCCAGCTGTTCTGGATAAGTGTCATATGAGTCTGCGTGACAATACTTCCATTCCTCTGTGTGCTTACATGTGCTATGTGTTACTCACGTATAACTGTGACCTTTGAACTCCTCATGCTGGCCGAATCTCCAGGGATCAATGGAAGAGGACCCTGTGGCCCTCCTACAGGCATCTCATTCTGCAGCTCTGCAGTCCCAGGTCTGAGTGTAATCCAGCACCAGCTCCACCCGTGATCATCCTGCTCCGTAGAATGTCCTGCTGTGTTGTGTTCTCACCCTTTGCTTGCCCAGTGCAGTGTGTCTCACTTTTTACTTAAGCTGTCATTTTGTTTTACATCCAAAATGATCGCTGTGTATGTTTATTTACTGTCAATATGTTTATATTATTTTAGTTGTGTTGTTGTGATGCTCCTTCCTCACTCTTGTCCTGCTTATGTTCACTGAACGCAGGAAATCTTTGGTGTTTCTGTTACACTGGTTGTTAAAGCCTAATTCACCCGCCACCCTCACCTCCCGTCCCCACTCCCTCACAGGCTTGTTTTGAGGTTTCTCTCACACACATTGTCACACGGCTGCCTCGAGCAGCAGCAGTGCTCAGTGGAGTGAGGCCTTCGAGTCCACTGCCATCCACTGCATGGTCATTATCTTGGTAACCTTAACCTTTGGGCATGTGCTGTTTATCAAACTGGAAATAATGGGCCAGTGATGCGACAATAATGGTCAATAATAATATAATGTTCTCCTTTTCCTTTCCGTCCACCAGGTGAAGACAGAAGAGCAGATCACAGCGGAGCAAGTGTGGTACGGATCAGAGAAGGTCTGGCTTGTCCACAAAAATGGCTTCTCCCTGGGTGAGATGGGGTTACTCTGCTTCCTTAAACATTCTCATGTAAGACATTTCTAAGCTGTTGAGGGCTATTCTGCTCTCTTACATTTTTATCTTGTATACCGGTCAAGTATAATGACAAAAATGACAGGATTTGAGTAGATATTTAGATGGATTTGGATTTCATTTAGTTTTATCAGGTAAGTGAGTGTGATTGTTGATGTTGCTCAAGGACATCACTTGTAAAGTTAGGAGTAAATAAGATATATAAAATAGGAAGGATCCAAATTATTTTATTTTATATTCCGATGGGGCATAAAGACAATGTTTAGTTCATGAATGTCCCGCTAGAACCATATATCTGTTCTCTGTATGTACAAATTAAACAAAGGGATATAATGTGTTTATCAGTGTGCTTTAGAGGGGTTTATTTTATTCAACCTTTGAACAGAGATTTAATGCTAACCATGGTTTAACTCCAACTTTTGCACTTATCACACAGACATCAGTCTTGTAGGGACTTGTTTATTTTTTATAAAATAAGCTTTTAACCCAAAAGCTGAGCTTCTTTTAATGCTTTGTAGCGCCTCACACTAAGTTTGTTTCTGCTCTTGTTCACAGCATTTTTAAACATCCATGCAAACAGAAAAGACAGTTATAAGAACTTTTAACCTAAATATGGTATAATCTTTCCCAGTAGGCAATGTCTTGTCTGGTGCTAGTCTGCAGGCTCCAAATTTGTAATCATAAACTATTTGCCTGTTAACACAGTCTAGCAGCTACTGTATCACTACCTGTCCTTTTTGTCTCCTCACAGCCACAGTAGTGAAGACAGAGGCTGGCTCCCTGCCAGAGGGCAAGGTGAAGATCAAGCTGGAGCATGATGGGACATTATTGGAAGTGGACGAAGACGACGTTGAGAAGGTGAGTGGGAGTTTAATGGTAGTGCACCAGTAGGAATCTGATTAAGGAGCTGCTGTGACAAACTGTTCATCCAAACCTATTCAGTTATCATACTACATCCAAGGCTGATGAAGATAGAGATTCTGCCCCAATGTTTTTGACAGTATTAGTGATGCAAATTATTATATATTTAATTGTTTATAATAGCTATTTGTACATTACCAATAAAAAGTTGTGTTAAAGACTGAAAAAATATAGAACATGAGTCTTATACTTTTTTTTGCTGATGTTTTTTTGTACATTTTGAATGAAACTGATTGAACTTTCAGTTCACTTTTTATCCAGCAAGGTCCACACATACAGCCAGAAGCAGAGTGATGCAGTCTATCTCCACCTGTGACTTAGAGCCTCAGCAGGCCACACAGGAGCCTGTCAGCCAGCAGGGAATTATGTAATAGGTGGAGGAGTCAGACAGCACAGTTGGGAGGTTTGGTAGTAGTTAACATTTTGCTGACGTGGTCACGATGCTGTTCTTTAAAGATGTGTTTAGTGGAACAACTCTTTCTTTTAAGTTGTTGCCACAGTTTCAACGGTACAGCTCTCAGTATCAAGACTCTCATTTAGTTAATGACCTGGCCTCTTTCAGAATCTACAGGGCTGCTTTCAATAAATGTTATTAGCATGCACTAACAGTTATACATAACGACATAAGCATACATATTCCTCCTTTTGACTGACCTCTCCCTAACCTATATCATTATATTATGATCCAAGTCCAGAGGTTATAGAGCTGCAGCTTTCCTGCCTCTGGACTGACTCATGGGATTTGCTAAAAGAAAATGTTAAATAACTAAAACCTTAACAAGGGGGGTGTAGGTACTCTGAATACTCATCAGTTGTATGTTTTCCCAATATTTCTTTATGATACATACACATATGATGGCAAAAGGATTATCATTTGAAATTTCCCAGCGTCATCTTAGAAGATACAGCACTCTGCTATTGTTGCGGGCTCCAATAGGAGACATCGGTCCTAATGGTGCACCTCCAGGTATGTGAGGCATCAGTACCTCTGAGGTTTCCCTCCCACCAGTGGCTGTCACTCCACCTCTGATGCCCCTTACATTGTCCCTGGCTGACTCTACAGTACCACTGGATAGGACATGTCTAAGCTACCGCTGGACCTCAGAGAAGTTGTTTCCAAGCCCAAGCTAAACAGTGATAGTCCAAAGGCGTGTCTGGTTACTGGTTACTGTCCCCAGTTGAATGCTATGATGGGGTGTCTCTCTGTGTGCAGGCCAACCCTCCATCGTCCAACCGCTCAGAGGACCTGGCTTCACTGCTCTATCTCAACGAATCCAGTGTGATGCACTGCCTGAGGCAGCGCTACGGAGGCAACCTAATCCACACCTACGCTGGAACCAACATGGTGGTCATCAACCCCCTGAGCACACCCTCCATGTACTCTGAAAAGGTGAGTGTGGGACTGAAGATGCAGCAGCATACTGGTTTATTGCCCAAATGACAGAAATATACTCTCTTGCTCTAACAAACACATTGAGTGATGGACCCTGTGTGCTTCAACACTATACGTCATCATTCACACCCATTCGTAATCTGATGGCAGGACACCGTACGCAATGCCAGCTGCCCATCAGAACCCTAACTACCATCCATACACAATACCACCTGCCCATGAGAACCCTAACAACCATCCATACACAATACCACCTGCCCATGAGAACCCTAACTACCATCCATACACAATACCACCTGCCCATCAGATCCTAACTACCATCATACACAATGCCAGCTGCCCATCAGAACCCTAACTACCATCCATACACAATACCACCTGCCCATCAGATCCTAACTACCATCATACACAATGCCAGCTGCCCATCAGAACCCTAACTACCATCATACACAATGCCAGCTGCCCATCAGAACCCTAACTACCATCCATACACAATACCACCTGCCCATGAGAACCCTAACTACCATCATACACAATGCCAGCTGCCCACCAGAACCCTAACTACCATCCATACACAATACCACCTGCCCATGAGAACCCTAACTATCATCCATACACAATACCACCTGCCCATCAGATCCTAACTACCATCATACACAATGCCAGCTGCCCATCAGAACCCTAACAACCATCATACACAATGCCAGCTGCCCATCAGAACCCTAACTACCATCCATACACAATACCACCTGCCCATCAGATCCTAACTACCATCATACACAATGCCAGCTGCCCATCAGAACCCTAACAACCATCCATACACGATGCCACCTGCCCATCAGAACTCTAACTACCTTTCATAGACATTTTACAACATTTTGACAGCAGTCTCCCGCAGATTCACCGGGGCTGGGACTAGCCACTACCAAAGTAATCTTAGGGCACATTCTCAGCCCTAGTCTACTTCAGAAGCCTATCAAAATAGTCTTCATCATCATATGATCACGGTGAAGCTCGTGAACCGCCCACCGGGCTGGCTGATTGGCTGCAACGTGGTTTGTTGCTGTTACTCAAACACCTCTCTGCCGTGTTGTTTTTCCCATCAGGTGATGCACATGTTCAAAGGCTGTCGCCGAGACGACTCTGCTCCTCACATCTACTCTGTGGCCCAGTCGGCCTACCGCAACCTGCTCACCACCCGGCAGGACCAGTCCATTGTGCTGCTGGGCAAGTCCGGCAGCGGCAAGACCACCAACTGCCAGCATCTGGTCCAGTACCTGGTCTCTATCGCTGGCAGCACGGGAAAGATCTTCTCTGGTGAGCATGCAGACAGAAAGAGGGTCGCAGATCACATGACTTCTTGGATAGATAAAATAGATAAATAGATGGAGGAGTAGTGGTAGTCATACAGGATATATTAAGTGTTGTCTCGCTGCAGTATGTTTGTAAAAAGCAGGCGCGTTTTCTTTTCTACATCTGTCTTGTGTTGAGATATTATGAATGATGGTGTTTGAGGTTAAGACAATGACTCTGGTTGAACCACCAGAGGAATGTACATGTTAGAGGAATGCTCAAGCCGTATTCTACTTGATAAAATAATTCTAGATGTCTGGAGGGAGACAAACTGCTTAAGTCCATCCATCTTCTGCCACCATCTTCAACCGCTTATCCGGGGTCGGGTCGCGGGGGCAACAGCTCCAGCAGGGGACCCCAAACTTTCCTTTCTTGGCCCACAACTACCAGCTCTGACTGGGGGATCCCAAGGCGTTCCCAGGCCAGTGCAGAGATATAATCTCTCCACCTAGTCCTGGGTCTTCCCCTGGGCCTCTTCCCAGCTGGACGGGCCTGGAACACCTCTCTAGGGAGGCGCCCAGGGGTCATCCTCACCAGATGCCCAAACCATCTCAACTGGCTCCTTTTGACGCAAAGGAGAAGCGGCTCTACTCGATGCTCCATTTATCCGGCCAAACTCACACTCCATCTTCCCCTCACTCGTGAACAAGACCTCGAGGTACTTGAACTCCTTCACATGGGGTAAGGACACATTCCCTACCTGGAGTAGGCAATCCATTGGTTTCCTACTGAGAACCATGGCCTCAGATTTAGAGGTGCTAATCCTCATCCCGACCGCTTCACACTCGACTGCGAAACGCTCCAGTGAGAGTTGGAGGTTACAGACAGAAGATGCCATCAGGACCACATCATCTGTAAAAAGCAGCGATGAGATCTGCAGCCCCCCGTACTGTAGACCCTCCTCCCCCCGACTACGCCTCGATATCCTGTCCATGAAGACCACAAACAAGATTGGTGACAAGGCGCAGCCCTGGCGAAAACCGCATTGTTCCTCTTCAATCCTTGGTTCGACTATCGGCCGAACCTTCCTTTCCAGCACCTTGGAGTAGACTTTACCCGGAAGGCTGAGTAGCCAGTCTGCCACTCTTTTGGCACTGTCCCAGACTTCCACGCAATGTTGAAGAGGCGTGTCGTCCAAGACAGCCCCCCAACACCCATTGCTTTTAGCATCTCTGGACGGATCTCATCAATCCCCGGGGCTTTGCCACTGCAGAGTTGTTCTCCACCAGGCAAATTGACGATGATCCCTCCTCCGGAGTTCCTCAAAGTGTTCCTTCCACCGCCCGATAACCTGCCCTTCGAGCCTGTCGGTACATTGCAACTGCTTCCGGAGTCCCACCGGATATCATAACCCGGAAGGCCTCCTTCTTCAGTCAGACGGCTTCCCTGACCACCACAGGGTTCGAGGGTTACCGCCCCTTGATGCACCTAAGACCTTGAGGACACAACTCACTGCCACAGCTTCAGCAATGGAGGTTTTGAACATACACCACTCTGGTTCAAAGTCCCCTACCTCCACTCGAATGTGACAGAAGCTCCGCCGGAGGTGTGAATTGAAAAATTATTTGGACCAGGGCCTCCTCCAGATGTTCCCAGTTCACCCTCACTACACGCTTGGGTTTACCGGGTCTGTCCCGAGTCTTCCCCCATCCTCTGACCCAGCTCATAACCAGATGGTGATCAGTTGACAGCTCTGCCCCTCTCTTTACCCGAGTGTCCAGAACATGCGGCCTCCGATCAGATGATACGTTTACAAAATCAATCATTGATCTTTGGCCTAGGGTGCTCTGGTACCACGTACACATCCTTATGTTCGAATATGGTGTTTGTTATGGACAATCCGTGACTGGCACAGAAGTCCAATAACAAACACCCGCTCGGGTTCAGATCAGGGAGGCCATTCCTCCCAATCACGCCTCTCCAGTTATTTCCATCGTCGCCCACGTGCGCATTGCGCCCAGTAGGACTATGGAGTCCCCTACTGGAGCCCCATGCAGGACTCCATTCAGGGTCTCCAAAAAGGCTGAATACTCCGAGCTGCTGTTTGGTGCATGTGCACAGACAACAGTCAGAGTTTTCCCCCCCACCATCCGAAGGCGACCCTTTTGTCCACCGGGGTAAACTCCAATGAAGCAGCACTCAGCCGGGGACTTATGAGTATCCCCACACCCGCCTGGCGCCTCACACCATGGGCCACTCCGGGCCGGGTAACTCCTTCCCTCTTTCGTTTTCGTTTTTTCACAGGGTCTTTTGAATCATTCTTAGTCTGGCCCCTCGCCTGAGACCACTTTGCCATGGGTAACCCTACCAGGAGCACAAGGCTCCCGACAACACAGCCCTCAGGGTCATAGGGACACACAAACCTCTCCACCACGATAAGGTGATGGTTCCCCAGTGTTTAATGAAAAACCAAAGGCAGAGCAGAAAGATGCTATCTCAATAAAGACTACACTGCTCATTGGAAAAATAATGAGATCCCTTTTTACGTGTTTGGGACCAGTTGAGAAGTGGCAGGCGGTCTACACCATCCTGGAGGCCTTTGGCAACAGCTCCACCTCCATGAACACCAACGCCAGCCGCTTCTCCCACGTGGTGTCCCTGGACTTTGACCAAGCCGGGCAAGTGGCCTCTGCGTCTATCCAGGTGACACACACACACACACACACACACAGGATGTGCTGTGCTCACAGCAGGACCATCTGACTCTTTCTGTCTCCTTCCAATCAGACGATGCTGCTGGAGAAACTGAGGGTGAGCCGCCGGCCCGATGCAGAGTCCACCTTCAACGTGTTCTACTACATGATGGCCGCAGCCGACAGCAGCCTGAGGTGACTCCTCTCTTCCATGTCAACATCATGAAGCGCATAACCTTTTTCTGTCATTGTTACAAAGGTCACATTTTTTAGGCCGACAGGCTTTCCTTCGGTCCACTCTCATGAACACAATATTTGAGACATCTCTTAAGGGGAAATGTCCTCTTAGTTTTAAGTCTGAACTCATTATATATTGGTCCCTGAAAAAAAAACATGACACTCTTCACTACTCACTCCTCTCTCCTCTCTCATCTTTACTCTCCTTTCTCCCCTCTCCCTTCTAGGACGGAGCTACACCTTAACCACCTGGCTGAGAACAGTGCTTTTGGGATCCTCCCACAGTCTAAGGTAATTACACCAGATGGTTCCTTTTCATACTTCATGTATTTTGCTGAGCCCTTTATTGAAGGCCATCAATGTAAACAAATATTGGTTGGAATTCATAATGTTTACACAAACCATGGAAACATGCACGTTTTTGGTGATATTCCCTTTTTTCACATTTGCAACCAAGAATGTAATGAACATTAACCTGGAAACAAACATTGTTAAACTGGTTTCAAAACAATTTGTTAGCATTTCCGTTCAAGTTCATTCAAATAATTAGCTGACAATATCAATCAATATCAACGTAAGATCATTATTATTTAATCTACGACAGCAAAACATAGAAGAAAACAGATAATTATTTAAAGACAGCATGTGAAAATACAAATAACGAAGGGATCTGCAGAAAGCTAATACTGGCCTGTGTCCTGTCTGGTATTCATGAATGAAATTCATGTATGGAAGTAGCTGTTTCCACTGTCAGTTTGATCTGCTTTTGTCGTCTCCAGCCTGAAGACAAGCAGCGAGCCTCGCAGCAGTTCACAAAGCTGCAGGCAGCCATGAAGGTGCTGGGCATCTCTGGGGAGGAGCAGAAGGCCCTGTGGCTTATCCTGGGGGCCGTTTACCATTTGGGGGCCGCAGGAGCCACTAAAGGTAAGCACTCTCATCAAATTGAGTACATCACTGGAGGAGTGTCCCACTGTTCACACTGATCTCTGACTGTGTGTCGAGCACTTGTTCCACTTGTCTTTTCAATGCATCTGTGTCCACACTTTAGTGGCTGAGCAGATACTGAACGCTTGTTATTGCTCATCAATTCTTTCCAGTCTGGAGGAACATGATGGAGACTTTATGAATGACCTGGAGTGTGTGTACCTGCTGTCCACAACTCAATGGGAGCCAGACCGCCTCAGAATGGTCTGATTGGATCCCAAAAAATTCAGACTAGTTAACGCGTCCTGGTTTGATCAGACAACAAACCAGGACGATTGAGATGGGGCTAAAAGTATTAGTAGGAGAGTGTAATCCTTCAGAGAGCTGGGCCGGGTCCTCCTCCACAAATGACATGGCTTTGTTCTCATCTCGTCGTGGAGAAAGACTGATGACACGGACGCATCTTTCAGTGCGTATGTAAACCTGATAATTCAATGAAGATGTTGGTCATTATGGTCCCTCCGCCTCTCAGCTCTGTGAGGAAAACGAAGAGCTAAGTGGTTTCATTATGACACATGATGAATACTGCAGTCACAGACAGGTGAGGGTGCAGTCAACCTTCAGCTCAACACTCCATTCCAGGGGGAGAATTGCTGAAGAGCTGCTTTTGAGTACAGTATGTATAATACTGGATTATTATTTTTGGTCCAATAGGTCTACCTACAGTAAATGTGACCTCTGCATTTAACCCATCAGGAGCAGTGGGCTGTGGGTTCAGTGACTCACTCAGGAACATCTTGACAAGTGGACAGTACGAGCCCGACCTTTGGTTTAAGGGAAACCTGCTCAACCAGGTTGTGTCATAACGAGGTCCAGTCAAACACCACCACTTTCTAATTCTCAGAAGAGAGTGAATTAGCAAAAAGAGATGTGACTGGACGTGACTTTCTAACAGCTGCCACTAGGTGTCAGGCTTGTCTCGCTGTAGGCAGCAAACTGACTACAACAACAATCAGGAATCAGGAATCAGGAATCAGGAAACATTTATTAGCCAAAATATGTCAAACATACAAGGAATTTGTCTTGGCGGTTAGTGCGCGACAGTAGACAGACAAGACAACAGTGCACAAGTAGTAAAATAAAGTGGAATGAAATGCTAATGCATGGACGAGAGCTGGACGAGAGGATTCTCCATTAGACGAGGTGTACAGACTTATCCGTTTTTAGGGTGAAAGATGTTGGTTGACTTAAAGGGATATGCTCTCACTCTAGTAACCGTGCAGATCTACACAGCTAGAGGCCACTAGAGGAAAGTGATAAAATGTTCCTTTGTAATTTGGGTGATTTTGCAAGTAATGTGGTCAGTACAGGTTCTATAAATCTGACCTGTTGGTCTGCTCACTGCCTTCAGTCTACACAACCTTTTGTGAGATTGTACAGAAAGAAATAGTTATATCTCTACAGATTCACATTAGTTGTGTAGTTCCTGCTTTCCCCCGGATATGTGACTGTCCCAGCTATGATGGTATTGTTAGCTGTTGTATGTTTAACCTGTATGTGTGCAGCACGTCTGATATGGAGTGAGATCAAGACAAGGGCAGTTTGTTTAGGTCAAATGTTGGACTCTGTAGCATGGTGGCTCGTTGGAGACTTGTCTTTCTTACCCACCCAGATCTGGATGCTCCTCCTCTTAAAGCCCCTTTAATTTGTAGATGATGCCGTCAGCTCTATCCACACTGAATACAAGGCCTGTGGCAGACAGTGCCTCTGCTATTTCACCTCTGATATTCTTGTTATATGTTTTACAAGGGTGTGTGTGTTTCATGTTGACAACAAGACGAAACACACGTATACATTCTTGCATGGAATAATCAGTGCAAAGAATAGTCACCTGTCTTAACTCTTCAAAAAGCTCCACGTTGGTGTTGCTGTGGTCTAATGCTCATGCATGTTGTTGGTGTGGCTGTGAAATGAGCGGCTGTATGAACGGTGTTCTCTCTAACCTCCTCTCTTTGCTTGCATGTTTGCATGCTGTGCGCTATCAAACGCAGACGCAGATGAAGGTAATGGAAAAAACAACACTCGACCTGTTTTCTTCAAATAAACTTTGTTTAGAGAGTCTCTTGTTTGTACTTCATCATTCCTGAACTTACGAACTTAGCTGTCGTTTGAACTGCTCTCTGTCTGACGCTGTCTCACTACAACACATTCTCCAAAGCAAAGCAAAGCTTGTTCATTTCAAATCCTCTAGTTAGTGTTTTGACCTAAATACACAGAACTTTTATTGCCCAGCTTACCCTGTGAGGTTTCTGATTGGCTGGGGCTCCTGATGAATCTCTGACGAGTCAAGAAGCTCTTCGATTGGTTGACTCTGAAGGCCGTCGTGTTCCCTCTTGATACATGCGCAATGTAGTGCCTCCAGACCAAATGGAGATGTAGACTGATAGTTGAGGATTAGCAAAGATCCAAATCTGAGTCATTGAGTTAGATTTCAATGTATTTTCCACCGTACACCATAGCAAACAGCAGTTTTAACTTTCGAAAGGTTTTACTCTGCTCAAATGCCTTCAATAGGAAGTAGACAATGGCCTTTAATAACTGCCATCATTTGTTTGGTAGCTCTTTCAGTGACGGCTGGCCAGTCTATAGAAGTAGAAGCTTCGGCCTAAACAAGCCAACATTGTTGCATATATCCAGTTGCCAAATATGTCTGTGTTGGGATCTGGTTGACTTCTGGCGTTGAAGTGCAGCCTGAGAGATGACCAAAAAAATGCACAGTTGCCCGGTCGTTACATTAAGGAAGGCGTTTAAATGTTTTCGTATTTTTCCGAAGCTTTTAATGGGCAGCATCGCTAAAGTGTCTATAGTTAAAACAATTGTAGGCCCATTTAAAAAGGTCTGGATCCATGTAGTGTGACATCACACCCTTGTAGTATTAGTGGTATTAGTAGTAGGCCCCGCTGTACATGAATGCTATAGGATGGCTAGGAAGCAGGCCCGTGGGGGGTATAATTAGAAGAACAATTGAATGTGTGGCTCTTAAAAACTTGGCTGTCCCACAGTCCACTCCTGTCAGCATACATATATACCGTACACATGCTTCCTGGGTTTAAAAGATTATGGTCGATGAAGCTGATTTGTTCTTTTAGGGTTATCATTTGGGTTAGTTCTAGTTAAGAGTAAGCATTGAGCAGCTGACAGAAACCTCACATCGAGCCATCCTTTGTACTGTCTTCATCATCCGCCCTCTGCCCCTTCCTGCAGTTGTTAACAACTTTCCTCCACAGGTCCTTACTGCGTGTCTCCTTGTATTCCAAACCCATTTTTACTTCCTTCTCAGCGGGCCGGAGACAGTTTGCCCGTCACGAATGGGCCCAGAAGGCGGCCTACCTGCTGGGCTGCACCCTGGAGGAGCTGTCCTCTTCTATCTTTAAGCACAAGGCCAAAGGACTGCAGCACTCCACATCCTTCAGAGGAGGACCCGACGAGGCCGGCCTAGGGGACGGCTCAGGTAAAAACCACTACAACATCCTCATCCAACATCATCCTCATTTTGAGACAATGTTCCATAAACCCACTTCTGATATGAACAGTTTGGACTGATGCACATCATTTGGGATCATATGTACTGTACACTGATGAATACAGAATGCGTTTGTGTGTGTGGGGTAAGATGTCAGTATGAACCTTAAGTTAAACAACAAACTAAGAATATAATCAAACTTTTGTTTCGAGTTCTATGCACTCAACACAAAGTTTGTAAGGTCTGTAACTCCAAATACTAATTTAGTTTTGGTAGTGATCGATGGTTGTTGACCCTGAGCAGAGGATGTCCGCTCTGAATGTGTTCTTGTAAGCTGTGACTCTGATCTGTATTTCAGGTTCTAAGGTCACAGCACTGGAGTGTTTGGAAGCCATGGCGTCGGGACTCTACTCTGAGCTTTTCACTCTCGTAATCTCCCTAATAAACAGGCAAGAATATTCCAAATATGTTGCCTTCTTATCTTGCTTTTTAGAAAGCATTCATGATGTTCGTTGAAAACCGCCTCTTTCTGTACGGTACAATAGAAGCGGTAAACACACTGATGGGTGTTTGGGTTCTGAATCAGTGTTTCTAGACGGTGCAATGCAGCAGAAGATCTTCTGCAGCCTGATTGTTTCGAGGACAAATGCCTTTGTGTTGGAAAGCTTTGTCCCCAGTGTAGCCGAGTGGCTCTGCCGTTACCTCAGCAGTCCTTTTGATAGGCTTGGAATATCTGCTGCACACACCCCATCTGGACAATGTCACACTCCACACTTCACTTTCAGAGCTCCCACCTCTGTTGAAAGCTTTAAATGCTATTTCAATTGTTATTGCTATTTTCAACTTCTTTAAATACTTTTTAGATAGTGATTTTCTTTCTCCCTTTTCTTCTAATCCAAAGCAACAACAATTGGCTGCACATCTCTCATTTCACAAAAGAAATGGAAAAAAGAAAATGTAATTCATGATGTGCATAAACAAGGTTCGTTATAAAATCTCAGCTTTCGGTAGAATCCCAAAGAACGAGTAGGATCTTAGTCTTTGTTAAAGCTTTAATAAGTTCAGCATGTACTGCCTTTACTGTGTATGGTGTACACTCAGTGTGCAGCTCTGCACTATTCTCTGAATACTCCTCTTTGCAGTAAACCATTAGTCGGCGAGTGCTACACTACAATCCGTTTTTTCTTTGTCGGCCCTTCCTTTCATACCGTATAGATCTGTCATGTGCCTTTGTCTCCGAATCCTCTGCTGGAGTTCTTTTGTAAAGCTTGCACACAGCGTTACTCACAGACGGCAGCTCTTACTGTGGACTTTTCTTAATGTGCAACATTCCCATCTTCAAAAGGGACCGGACTCGAACCGACACGTCTCTGCAAAGAGTCAGAGTGCAACATTTCACCGTAGACTTTATTCTTTGATATGATCAGAAATGTAATGTCAGGTTAAGTATAACTAACTATTCATATTAATCTTTCCAGTTCATATGTGAATATAGCAGAGATCTTGGTTCATTGATACTGTCACAGCATTCAGTACCGGACCACAAGTAGACCACTCCCTAATAATGAAACTACCCAACACAAAATACATGTATTGTGTTTTTATGCAGCACTGGAGTGTTTGGAAGCCATGGCGTCGGGACTCTACTCTGAGCTTTTCACTCTCGTAATCTCCCTAATAAAAAGGCAAGAATATAATAGGTTGCCTTCTTATTTTAGGAATTTTCATCAGAGTTGTTACATAAATGTAACTCTCGATGCTAGGGCTATGTATTTAGAGGCCAGTCAAATCATAAGCCCGTACCATGTGAACAAACCCTATAGATTTCTTTCCTCATGTCCATCTATGTTGTTTATGAATATAATTAGCCGGGCAGAAACCTCAAAGCTGCGCTCTCTCTAATGTCCACCAGGGGGCTTCTATAGAAGTGTGAAAATCATTTCACTTCTCTCCTGATGTAAACTCAAACTCAAAGCTTTAAAGTGGTCAGTCAATCGATGGGTGACGTCATGAAGAATCCGCCCACTTAGACACAGCCTTTGGCCAAAGCCGAACCGTTTTATCTCCATGATAAATCATAGTGGGTTGATCAAAGCTTCATGATGTACGTGTGTCCCTCAGAGCTCTGAAGTCCAGTCAGCACTCCCTGTGCTCACTGCTGATTGTGGACACGCCGGGTTTCCAGAACCCTCGGCTGGCCCAGCAGCAGCGGGGAGCCACGTTCGAGGAGCTCTGCCACAACTATACCCAGGAGAGGCTGCAGACCCTGTTCCATGAACGCACCTTCGTCCAGGAGCTGGACAGATACAAGGAGGTGCTGCTTATATATATACACATATTAGCTCATTAGATCTTTTCTATCTGAAGAAAAATATTAGATGATACATAAAGTCAATTTATAGAGATGGTTCATTTGTTCAAAATCAAACAAAACTATATACGTTTTGTTTATCTACTCTGATCCCTCTAGTGTCATCTACGCGTGCAGATAGTGTCTATTTTTGGGGTGCTAATAGACCTGATACAGTGAAGGCCAATGGAAATTGATTGGTGTGTGTTTAAAATGAGTTTCAGTAGCTGTGGATAATCCACCGAACAGCCAATCAGTCTAACTGCTTAGGAAGGTTCCCTAACGGAATTAAACGATTTTGGAAGGATTAAGTGGTGATCTCGCTCACAGCTGGTCTGATCCTCTCAATACTTAGAAAAGGTGATTCAATACTTCCTTTAGCATAGCGAACAGTGCACCCCTATGCTATCCTATTTAACGGTGCAATATGGATATTTATTCTATCTTTATTTTTTATTAGGTGTTTTTCTGTCCTAGATGAAACAGATATCATAAAACTCTGCATTGATAGATGAAAACACATTCATAGGCACATTCACTTCCTTATACCACTGCTCAATATCCAATAAACATTTTCAAAAAAATGTACACTCACACCCAATCCAGTTGGGTCATGGCTCATTTCATAATCCACCTGTTGATTTATTGATGATCTCCTCTCCTGTAGCTCACTAACCTAATCCTTTATCCCTCCTGCCTCTAGGAAAATATAGAGCTTGCTTTAGATGACATAGAGTCCAGTACCTCTCTGTCTGTAGCAGCTATTGACCAAGCCTCCACCCAAGCTCTGGTAAGCCCATCTCCACACTGTTCAAATGAAATGCTCACCCTTAGATCGTGAAAAAAACGCCTGTGATCATTTGTATGCTTTACCAGGACTGTCGGCTACCTCCAATTAGTTTGGCCCTTTGTGATTGTGGCTCGTGTTTTTCTAACGTGCTTCATTTCCTTTTGGAATTCGTCCCACATCTGAAAATTAATTGGAATGAAGTGAGTGATTTGTTTCCCTCTTGGCTTGAGAGGTTCCGTCCCGCTTCAAACTTCACATTGCACGTAGTTCAATTAGCCTCAGCAGTGCTTTGTGAAAAGTGGGAATTATTGATCAGTGCTATGTATAGAAAATGCTTTAACAACTCCTTTTCAAAGGCAACAGGAAGGAAACAATGTAGCTTTAGTTTGGGGGGCTTGTTGTAAAAGATGTAAGACAAAAGCATCATCCGGAGGAACCAAAGACTATTACTCACTTCAAAATAAACCATACCAGCAACAAACCCTGTATCTCTCAGAGGAATTTCACATTGAACTTGATTAGGGTGCAGCAGCTCTTCTTTGATTGTGAATTGCTGTGAGAGTCAGTTATCATTCTGCTTTCATCTATTTGCACAGTTTCCATGTCCTTATGTAAAGAGGCTAATCCAAAGTTGGATTATGTTACAGTCAGCTGTAAGAAAAATGTCTTATCTCGTTAAAGGTACAAGGAACTAATCAGTTGACATACAAATTACAGTTATGTGCTTAGTTGTGCATCAATGGGCTTTATTTTGTGTTGGATTGGGCGCTACCTGGACAGTCAAGTACTGTACTTGGGTACAATTGTGATGCTGCTTTCTTAGATATTGTACTCTTAATTCAATGTATGAAACACAATCCAGTGTTATACAATAAATGATCCAACTTTAGGAAAAATGAATGCCATCAACGTGTTATTCATTTTTATTGCATTCTGCATCAATAATAATCCAATCCATTATGATGTAACTATAGAGCCCATTTCACTGCATGCAAAGTACTTTTAAAACTTTAGGTGCTTTTAGTTAATTGTAAACCTGCATGCATCTATTTTGAATACATCACCTTTCCTTGTGACTCTGATTTTTCAAGTGTGCTTAAGAGAAGCAAAAGAGATCTCAAAGATGTTCTGTGATATAAAGGTGCTCGCTAACGAGTGACAACTAAACGTCCTCCTCACAACTAAAGTCCGCCTTTAGGGAAGTCATATGACCGTGGTAAATATCATTTGTTGAACCAAACATATGAGTACCATAAAGGGAGGTATGACTGTAATAATCTTGGGTTGTTGCTGGTAACAGATTTAATAAATAATAATGAATAAATATAAATCAATGTAACTATTATTGGTAATTCAATTATAATTAATAAATGCCTACATTAGTTAATAGCATGAATATTTAATTAACCGAACGTTATCACGTGAATACATGCTACGTACATAGCCTATTGAATTCTTCCATGTTGAACCACATGTGTACCTATTTCTTTTAATAAATGTGAGTATTTGTGAACACATCTGGCCTTGACCTCAGCTTGTCTTTCACCGATGCCAAAGGAAAGTGTTTTTGTGAGGAAGAAAACAGGCCACATCTTTGAGTGTCAGTCTCCATCACAGGTTCGGACTCTGGCCAGGACGGATGAGGCTCGAGGCCTCCTGTGGCTGATGGAGGAGGAGGCTGTGCAGCCCGGAGGATCAGAGGAAACCATGCTCGAGAGACTCTTCAGCTACTACGGCTCTGCACAGGGAGAAAACAAAGGTGAGCCCTCGCGATGGGATCCCATAGAAACCGACCGGCCCGATCCCACTGCTCACATACTGGGGGAAATGTGTTCTGTGTGTTGCAGGAGCCGGTCTGCTGCTGCGAGGAGAGAAGCCTCATCTCTTCCTGCTGGGCCACAGCCACGGGACCGATTGGGTGGAGTACAACGCTCAGGGCTGGCTAACCCATGCCAAGCACAACCCCGCCACCCAGAACGCTGCCACTCTGCTGCAGGACTCCCAAAAGTAGGATCACATACAGTGCCCCCCTTTTCAGTGTGTGGGAGAGGTGATCTGTGAAGCCACCGTCGTAGTTGTCCTCCTTTGACAAACTGGTTATTTAAAACAGCAACAAGTCATTCAAGAATGAGTTCATCAAAGAGCAAACCATTATTTTCTTCTACTAGGGCTATCTACCTATGCAGATGGTTGTGGAAGTTTTTGAGACATCTGCTCCCTAGATTTATGCTTTCAGCCTGCATAGAATTAGTTGTTCAGTATGTATCATTAAAACAACTAAATCTAAATCAGCCAATCCGCCATTTGAGAGAAAAGCGGCGTGAGCTGTCCAGCAGAGAACTTCTATGGCACTTCTATGGACTAAAAGGAACGTTAACGTTGACGTGCACTAACATGGTCTAAAAGTAATGTTCACATGCACTAATTTGGATTAAAAGGAACTTTTAAGTGTGCTGACGTGGATTAAAAGGAACGTTCATGTGCACTAATATGGATTAAAAGTAACCTTTATGTCCACTAATATGGATTAAAAGGAACGTTCCTGTGCACTAATATGGATTAAAAGGAACCTTTATGTCCACTAATATGGATTAAAAGGAACCTTTATGTCCACTAATATGGATTAAAAGGAAAGTTCCTGTGCACTAATATGGATTAAAAGGAACCTTTATGTCCACTAATATGGATTAAAAGGAACATTCACGTGCACTTACGTAGCCTAAAAGTAAGATGGAGATTTATTATTATTATCTGTTTCACACGTTTATTAAAAGTTATAATGCTGTAAATATCCATGTCCTCGTAGAACCAATTCACCACCCCAGCAGCTGTCTTTTTAAGGTTACTTATCCCTTAATGTACTGTAACTCTCAAGCATTTTCATCATTTTTTTCAGCTCTCTGTATATTATATTACCTTGTACCATATATTATATAGTAAGGAATGAAACCTTACAGATGCTCTTCATCCACAGGAAGAACATCAGTGGGCTGTTCATGGGCCGGGCCAGCGGGGCCACAGTGCTGTCCGGCTCCATCGCTGGTCTGGAGGGCAGCTCCCAGCTCGCCCTGCGGCGAGCCACCAGCATGAGGAAGACCTTCACCACGGGCGTGGCTGCCGTCAAGAAGAAGAGCCTGTGTATCCAGGTCAAACTCCAAGTGGTGAGTGAAGCAGGCGGTGATTGAAAAGTGTACCTCATGCATGAAAAAATCCTGGTGGTCAAGTGATAAAAAGGAGGGACGGGGACAGCGCTGTAATGTGATGATGTTCTTAATATTAACACAATGAGGTTTTAGGCACAACACCTTTCCTCTAAATCACGTTGACTCATTTTTTAAGGAAGAATAATTAGTGTAGGTAACACAAGCAGCATTTAAGCAGGTTAATTTTCCTCAAAAAGCCTGTAAAGTGACCTAGGTTCCTCCGTGCACCTGTCCTTCGAAGATTTAAAGTAGTGGCCCTTATTGTAATAAATCATCCTGCTCCACCTGTCCACACATTGGTTAGCTAACTGTTGAACTCGAAAATCTATCCAGTGCACACTTTTGTTGAAATACCTGAGGTGTTTGTTTTTAGTTGTGGGCGCTGGAAGCGGTTAATTAAATGTTAACCAGCAATTTGGATTCATACTCAAATCAGCTGACATCTGCTTTTATGTCACAATCAATTTCAGGAGAGAAAATCTTCTACTGCTGCATCCCTTACTTTTATCAGGAGGAATCTCTAAACATACAGTCCATATGTCATGCTTCACAAAAGCAACGATTAAGTATGATGTTGAATATAATACCTGTTAGGACCCTTTCCTTGGCTCGTTTTTGGGGTTTTCCTTCATCGCCCCACCTGGAGTCAAGGATTAGATTTTTCTGGACCATAATTAATTGCTGATGCTAATTATGGCAATGTCACACATATGTCTAATAGTATCGAATAATGAAGAGATGGGACTTTGGACAGGTTGCCGGGGCAAACAGCTGTGGGGCACCAATGCAGCGTCATTTAATTCCCACCATAGCTCTAGCTAACTTAAACCTGATTGGAGCTTAAATCAGCCAGGGCTAAGACAATACCTGTCTGTGGGTTTGTGTGAGCAAGTCTTCATTCATCGCATACATCCTCTTTTTTCAAGCTGCCACAGCGCAAAGAGAATGCTGTGAAACTAGAGGAGGGAACAGATGTTTAATCATCTGATATCTAAGTAACCGGCCTTCTGTCCCCAGGATGCTCTGATTGATATGGTGCGTCGTTCCAGGGTTCACTTTGTCCACTGCCTGCTGCCCAAAGCAGAGGCAGTGGGTGGAGGAGGTGAGCCCCGCGTGACGCATGGAGAGAGCCTAGACTCGGGCCTCATGACTTTGGACGTGAGCCTCCTGAGGGCTCAGCTCCGAGGATCCAAACTGCTGGATGCACTGCGCATCTACAGGCAAGGTAAGACAGGACTCATGAAAACCTTACTAGTTGGACATGAACATTGTGAGTTGACTGAAAATACGTTCTCCTATCCTATGTTGCATGTTGTGACATGTAGGATCTGATGACTCATATAGCTTAGCCAACACTAAGGCTGTGTGCTGTCTGAAATGGGTGCGTGCTACTTTATTTATTCCGGACTCTTATTATGAATCATGGGGGCGCGCAAGGCTCCATATTTGGCCCGGCTTCATTCAGTCTATTATTGCCTACACTTTGCTGTAATAGAGGTACTTGTATGTGTAGATAGATAGAAGTGTGAATTATTCTGTGTTGGTGATGAAAGGTGATATAAAACTAAAGCTTACTGACTATGATAGAAGTCTGACTATTACTAACTGTGCTAGTTTGGTTTTCACTCCCATCTATTATGCATCTCCCACCTTTATAGAAGTACAATGCTAGACCACTGGGGGGAACATCACAGGATTAGTGATGTGACATACGCACCTGTTGTATCATCACAGAGATCATTCAACTTTGGTTCCAGTTCTGGCAATCTAATCATTTTAATCCAGTGAAGAATTTAACTTTTGGAGGGTGTATAAAAGGATTTTGATATCCCGACCCATTGCTGTTACTGTTGAGAGGACAGATGAGGTCTTCATTTCAAAGTGTATATACATTTTTTCTCACCCTCTATAAAAGCTTGAGCTTACTTTGTACTCCACCACGTGTTTTGTGTTTCTCCTGAAAATCAAAGTTGACCTTTGGCACATTGTTGGATCTCCAACTCCTCTGACCTTGGTGTGATGTTTGTGTGCCTCCAGGATACCCAGACCACATGGTGTTCTCTGAGTTCCGCAGGCGCTTTGATGTCCTGGCACCACATCTGACCAAGAAGCATGGCCGCCACTACATTGTTACAGATGAGAGGAGGGTGAGTGTGGCTGGATAGGGACTTTGTTTGATGGAAACTAAGATGTTTGATGGCGTTACACTAAGGTATGATTTGTATCAATGTTGTCTTGGATTCTACAGAAGATTTTCTTATGGATTATTTTTAAATGAAAGCCAATGAAAAGACTAAAACCAATAATGTGCTGGTCAATCCCTTTACCTCGTCAGTGGCTCTGAGCCTGACCTTTATGGAGAAAATACCTTCCTAAAACAACTGTTCACTAGTTTATATCACAGCTACCCAAACAGGAGGCAATTGTGTATTTATTTAGGACTATTTAGAGCAGTAGATTAATCGATATTTGGTGCTCAGGCGGGTATGTGGGAAGGCAATGTATATCAGGCAGTTTTACCATATATAAGCTTTTTAGTGCTTTGTTGTTTATGTTAGTTTATGGTGAATCCCACTAAACCTGACAAAAAAAATAAAATAAACACCTCAAGTCTGTTGCTTTAATGTTTCTTTAAATACGTATCAGGCACTGTACCTAATATTTATCAGTTACTTTTATAAATCTTCCTGAACCCAATCCAGTGAAACAGCAGTGAAAAAAGAAAATCTGTCACTTTGAAAGTCGTTTTTTGCCTGAGTTTTCTTCAAAACAAGTTTGTGGTTAAGTGGTTGGCAAATTAAAACAGTCCGATTCAAATAGGTCAGCTAACTTGTCATGTCAGACGTGGCTGTGCTCTACAATAAAAAAACATAACCCGATTGTGTCAGATTGTTCCTCAGCTTGCCCTCTACATTCTAATCGTGGTGTGTGAACAGACTCCCTTTATTCCTCCTCTCCTCTTTCCACTGTCCTCTTCCTGCTCCAAGAGCGCTCTTGTGTGTAATTAATTATGATTGCACAGGCTGGCAGCATAAGGCTATTGTACTGATTAATTACCGGCAGTGCTTTCCATTCCCTTGTCTCTTTCCAAATTCTTTTCTTGTCTCATTATCTTTCCATTCCTTTGTATAGGAGGCAGAACAGTTTAGGAACATCCCTGAGTCCGTGATTAATGCCTTCTCTAGATTCTGCTCAGGCAGTGTATAGCAGCTCTGCACAAGGGTGCGATTAGTCTTTATGAGCGGAGGAAAAACCTCCTTCTGCACCTATTTTACAAAACATATCTTATCAGAAGGTGCCTTCAATTTCTACCTGTTTGTCTGTGTGTGTGCCAGTTCACATAGAGTAAACAAAGTACATTGAAATGAATTGCAGAGAACGGAGATGATGTTAACCGGATTCATTAAACAGATCAGTGAAATCAAGCGCTCCTCTCAACACGCTTGAAATAAAGTGGCAAACAAGAACAAAGATGCGCTTTGAGAGCTCAGTCAGGGAGAACTAATTGTAGCCAGAGAACAAACAGTGGAGGAGAGAGACAGCAGGGGGGGATGGATGAAAGGAGGTGGCGCGAGACAGAGGAGGACATATAATTGGAGGAATAATACGAACAAATGGGCTTTCATTGAAAAAAACCTTTTGGTGATCCGAGCCCGTCTGAGAGAACGGCCCAGTTCTGTCAGTTCCTCCACCGCCAGATGGTGTACCCGCAAAGAGCTTTTCAGACCAACCTGGCACACAGCAGAGAGGAGATGAGCGCATTCATGTCAAGCTCAAACCTCTGCGGAACCTGACATGTATCCAAACCTTGAACACAGTGAGATACGTCAACCAGTGACAGTACAATATACTAGGCCAAAAACCCCGAGCAGCAGAGGGGAGATGTCCCGACTTTGATCGGTTGTATGGTATGTGGTATGACAATGCTACATGATAGCTACCTCAAAGATCCAACCTCAAAATGGCCAACTTTGAGAAGAGAGGAATTGATTTGGAATTCCCAGTATACAACGAGTGAATAGCCCCATAGAAATCCATTTGAGACATGCTTTTCGGCAGTCACAAGCCTACATCCTTTAAAACTGAGTATTAAAAACTCCGGCACATACTTGGGCGCTCACTGAATGAGCTCCTGGGTCCGTTAAGAACACGGTAATGGATCACCTTCCACACACAGCAGCGTTTTGAAGTCGCCGGCTCAGAGGTAAGGCTGGGACAGCCGTGGCTGATTTAGTTGCTCTGTCTGCTCACTACCTGTTCTGCTTTTTGCAGGCTGTGGAGGAGCTGTTGGAGTCCTTGGAGCTGGAGAAGAGCAGCTACCAGATGGGGCTGAGCAGGGTGAGTGGCATCCCAAAGCATGCACACTTCATGCATGATGCTGTCATATTTCTAATCCAGGCCCAAGCCTTCATTCACTGCAGATAAAGGCCTTCAATACAGATATTGCACCGTTACATAACGTATATTTATCACATTGTCAAAAGACATCTCACTATTTGTGTTTTTCTTTGGCAATTGTATCTAGTGTTTGGTACGTCTATAAATCAATATCTTTAATAGGACATGTGGACATCAAAACATCAGATTACTCCATTGGTATTGGCTGCTCACTCACACAATCTGTCACGTTTCTATCTAGCCCTTATATTTGAGGGTTGACTGCTATAGGTGGTAGGAATTCCGGCATAACCACACAGCACCATTAATTACATCCATATAACCACAATAACACAAAACCAGACGTATGCCAGCACTTTGTTACTTTTTAGGGACACACAGAGAAACAAAGAGAAAAATGGAAACACATTTGCTGAATGTAGCTTACAGTTCAAACAGGTATTGCATATTTGAATATGATTATTTTATTATGGATTGATGATGAGCATTATCATGGCCAACCGGTGTTGTGCTTAACGGTAGTATGCACAGTCCAAGACAAGCAGGAAGTGTTCCGTTTCATTGAGCTTAACATGAAGTCCTTTTGAAGCAATCAAAATAACAGAAACAGAAATACAGCAAATGACCCATGAATTGTAACAGGGGTCATCACATTGACGTCTTTATGTCACTCAAAGGAGATAACACCTGACCTTCATGCTCTGCTTTCAATATGTGCACAACGTGTTGAGTGAACAGAAATCAAGTAGTGAATACAAAAGGATTCTAAATGGTGCAAAGTATTTCTGTTTAACAAAAGAAACTACAAAGGAAAGGAAGTACCAGAGTAGTTACATGGTAGCTATACAACTGCTCCTCAATGCTCTTTATTAGAAAGCAGCCCATTTTGTCTTTGCTGAACGCTACGCTTTTTATGGAGCATTTTGACTTTGACCTTGAACTCTTTTCACTTACCTGGCTTTAACTTTACCTTCACTTTTAACTGACTAATGTTATAATCACAACCTTCAACCCTAGAAAGTCTCAAAGATCTGTGATGGTCCTGGCTCTCTGTATTCATGAAACTTGCCAAGCAGCAGTCAGACACTGCCAGACTTCAGCTCTTTGAGATAAAGCTAATCACAAGGAAAAAGACAGGCTGATGGTTTTGTTAATTAGATATGTGAATGTCTTTACACATCTCACAGATGTGAATTAGTGAAGTTTCTTGGCAGATACTGCAGTTTAACCTTGCCTTGGTGTTGCTGTGTGTCAGTCTATACTATACTTTTTCCAAGTTCAGAAAAGAGTTTCAAATTGGAACTTTTGCCTTCAGTAAACGTGCTGTCTACTGCTTTTATCATCATTATTATTTGACTGACTATTATTTGAAACTGCTGCTGATTTTAGTAGCAGTCATCATTTTTCCATCATTATCCTGCTTACTATGAATCATGGTCTTATTTGAATTGATTTTACATTTAGTGACAGTGTTAATTTTGTCACACTGCTGTCCATCCTCACAGAGAAATCCCTCCTGTATTCCCCTCTATGTCAGCCCTCTGAGGCAAATTTATGATTTTTGGCTACACAAAATAAATTTAAAATGAAATACATTGATCTTAATTGCTTTTGGAAAAATGAAAATGACCAAACTGCCAATTTTGCTTTAAGAAATGATTATTTGAAATGACCATCCATAAGAAGACAGAGACAAATAGATTGAACGGCGATTTATTAAAATAAATGTTTGTATCCATTCAACTTGGATGTTGGTATTTAGACTAGTCAACAACTTGTGCCCGCTCCCACACATAACCTTTTATTCAGCCAGAAAAAAGGACAGATTGAAATAGTTTAGCTTTGTTTTGGGACTGATTATTGTCACCCACGATGACACACGAAGTGTGGCCGTGTCTCCCCTGGGCTGCTAGATGATGCCTCTCAGTGCCAATGAGTTTGTGGCCGTCTGTGCCTAATATCAGAAAAAACGGTCTCTGAGGAGCACAGCGTTCATGTCAGCCAGATGTGTTGCCTCCTCTCCATCTCATCTGAATACAGTGCATTTCAAAGGCTGCTCCAGGGCGGGCCTGCAGTGCCATAACAGCTCCCCAAACTTGGACCCAAAACATCTGGATCGCGTCCTTGAGGCTGTTTGGCAGCGCTTGAAAGGATATGCAGCTTTTCTGAGAAAACATCCATACCACAATTGACCATGTTCATTTCAATGTGATAAATAATAATTTCCGGGAGTATTATTCTTTTTCTTTCTACTACGAGGGTAAATCTTTTATTGTGGACGACAGTGCCAAATATGATATGACTTAACTAGAAATAGCCTAAAATGTACAGATGGAACTGCATATCTACTCATGTCTCCTACTAGAGTCACTTCACCTCTATAACAACAGCCAACCGTGGCTTCGGCATTAAACACTTCACACTTGCCATTAATAATAGTAAATAGTTGTGTCAATCATCCTTTGCACAAATATCAAATCTGCAACTGAAAAATCTAAGATTTCAAATATATAAATAATATATATATATGTATTATATATATATATATATATATATATATATATGTATTATATATATATATATATATATTGTGATATTTTGTGAAGATTTTGCACTGACAATTGTAAAATAAGAATGGCTCTGGGTCAAATATGTCTTTCCCCGTTTATTTTCTTGCAAGGAAAAAAAGGTCACAACAGATACGTGCACAGTAGACTGCCGAGAATATCTTTCCGCCCCCACAACAGGGCAAGGCCGTTCTTATACTTCAGTTCAGTTACAGATGGCATCAACAGAAAACTTACATCCAACACATGTGAACCAACTTGTTGTGTCTCTTCAGCCAGGGCATCTTATCAATGTGAGACACTTCAGTTCCAAAACACTTCTTCTTTCTAATTTTATATTTTGTATAGTAACTATTTTGGCCTAATAAAGAAAAATACTAGAATACTAAAATACTCAAAACTTGTGTCCTTACCTTGCCTGAACTCTCCCTTTGCTCCTGCAGGTGTTCTTCAGAGCGGGAACTCTGTCCCGTCTGGAGGAGCAGCGAGACGTTCAGACCAGGAGGAACATCTCCCTGTTCCAGGCTGCCTGCAGGGGATACCTGTCCAGACTGGCCTTCAAGAAGAGGAAGGTAAGGGCCTTCATCACGGAAGATCAGTGGGCTCAGAGGGGCTCCTATGGTCACACCTTACGGGCGCTTCGTTATATCTAACCACAAGTCAGGGACAGGGGCGTAGGGGCACTCATAGTCAGGAGGACGGATACACTTGTCTTCATGTGCTTTCATTGGACTGATGCTCCATCACACACTTCTACAACAGTCCTAGAGGCTCCTCCAACCACTTCAGTCCTGATGGCTGGTGTGGAAGGTCATCTTCAAGTGACAGAATGTTTTGTATTTTACATGTAATTGGTCCACTTATCATTCCTGCTGTATTGGCACAGCTGTATTCAGATACAGTGTTGCTAATGCGCTATATGAACACTGGCATTCATTAACAGTACAATCTGCTGCCTGCCGCTTTAACACACTCAAGAAAGGTAATCTGACTACATTAAGGAGGCAAACCTTTGGTGCAGGTGCAGGTGCTCTGCATGGCCTTCCGACACTCATTGCACATTCAAGATTTCAGTACCAACTGGAATTGATAACACCCTCTCTTGTCAAATGTTCATTAACTGGTGGGACAATATCCTCCCCATGGCAACCCGACCTGGAACAGGGCATGGGTCACATGATATAATCTGTTGTTCAAAGCCCTAAAGCAGAGCCCATCAGGTCCCTAATGCGGCAACGTGTCTGCTGGCTTCGCACCCACAATGACTGCCGCTGTGGCCACTGTGGAGGTGGGTGAGGGCTTTATGCTGTGTTCAGGTGTTCTCTGTATGCACCGTGGCATCTTCAGACATTTCTGAGTGAGTTGAAACATGTTTCAACCCAAAGAGGGACATTGACTATGCAGCAAAATTAACTTTTTGTGTGTGTGCGTTGAGGCTGACGAGTTGAAAACATTGCTGACTCCTGGCTGCTAAATCTATATCAAATCAAATTAGAACTTTTAAGCCTCATTTATAAGTAACTCTTCCCAGATAGTCATAGCAGATCTCAAACCCACTGGGTACCAAATCAGTGGTATCTCTCCACTCCCATTCTATCCCGTTGGTTTTGTCCTCACTCAAACGTCTATGTACTCACAAAGGGAGACTTCAATGAGCTCTTGCTCTTCATATTGCCACAACCCAAAATCGATTTGTGTGTTCCTCCATCTAGTTCCTATTATTCCTGCTCGGGGGGAACGCTGTTTCCTTCCAACAGCAGCGTTTAAAGCACTCCAGGGAGTGAGTGAGGGGGGGATAGACAAATAGAAGAGATCCTCTGCCTGCAGCCTGCCTCTACTCTATCTCCTTGACATTCATGGGGAACAGTTGAGATTAAAGGAGCATGGGGGATTTCTCTTCCAGCCAATCAACAATGAGCCTAATTAAATAGCTGCCTAAACACAGAACCCCCCCAGCACCTTCCCCACCTCTCCACCCAACTGGGAATAGGTTAGGCATATTTTCAAGTAAATTTACATCAAATGTTAAAATTAAAGTTAGAAACGGTGCACAAACTTTTTTATTTTACTTTTGTGTCTGTGTTAGGGCGGGTGATGAAGCCACGTCCTCCTCTGCGCCCCTCCTGGGGGTCGCGACCTCCTGTTTGTAAACCACTGCAATCATGTCTTCAAAAGTAGTGTATTGCGCGCTTCTATTTGTGCAAACACACAAATAAGGTGTTTTTTAACAGCAGTATTTGCGTTATACAGTAACAGTTCAAATATTTCTTGTAAATCTCAACTAAATTTGAATTAAAAGAAATGTATATATTTTTTTTTTATGAATGTAATCAAATTAACTAGAAACCAAAGCGGTTTGGTTGAACATTTGATTTGAATTGTTATATAAAATCAAGTTACCCATCATGACCTTAACATCATAACATGCAAGTTAACATCTAGAAACATGTATTATTGCATTTTTATTGTATCAGGGATCACCATTACGTTAACATTATTAACATTATAGTCATGAATCAATAATGTATACAGCTATCAATAATCTATGTTAAGTAGCAAGTGTCCCTGTTAGAGTGAAGTGGTCCAGCACTGAGTACCCTGCTCGGATTTCGTGACTTTTTAGTCTATGTTTGTTCTGGATTTACTTTGGAGTCGTAGTCGTATTGATAAGACTTTTTTTTATTCTGTTGTCATGTCAGTCACCTTCTTTACCAATTACTTTAGAGGTTTGCGGGGTGATCAGCATTCGTCAGGCTGCTTTTCCTTCTGCTTCTTCCTGCAAGTTATTCCCATTTCCTAATCTGAAAATGGAAACGGAATTCTCCAGTTCTTTGAACATTTCTCAAATAAAGCTCAGGGTCATCATGTTAAAAAAGTAACGTTTGTGTGATCAGGACCTCCAGTCACGCCAGCTTAGCTGCTGTTCGCTTTAACAAGCTGCCAGTGGAACATTGATGGTTTTATTTGAGCAGGAACCGTTTTCAGTCTGTCTGAGATGGAGCCATTAGCTAAAGGAGAAAACTGCTGATGCTTTTTAAACATGTGTTCATAGAGGGCTGCGGAGTGCCGGCTAACTGTTTCCTCTGTCTCCTCTGTTGAAGAAAAAGACTGGCTGTTTTGTAGAGTCTACTTCAAAAAACCATCAGGATTTTCATTTGTGGTAGACATTAGACAGTGCTAGATTTGGTTAGCTCAAACATTCAAATCGGATTCACCTCCCACATATCTATGAGTGAACATTCTAACATACAGTAAGCACTCTCCATGTTCCAATATATCAACTAAAAGCTCTATTCACAATTTAGTCCAGGAGGCGATATTTAATTTAAAGATAAGTTTAAACCAAATCTTCTCAAAATCTGTTTGGCCCCTATAGCTTTTACACGTCCCGATGTTACTCTCAGATGAAGAAGGTATCCCATTGGTAGGCCAGACCACCATTTGATTATCCTTTTTCTGTTGCAAGGCAAACTGTTGTGGCTTTACTACTTTACTGGCTCAGTGTCTCACTATTTTGTGTTCTGAACAGAGAAGTTTTCAATGTCCTCAGGTTCCCACACCTCCTGGGAACTGTTGACCAATTTTGAGTCATGGAAATCACATGGATAATGTCCTGATAAATCATACTAGCACTCAAAGAGTAGCCTGTGGGGCAGAGTACTCTGAGCAGCCTACTCTCAGTTATGACGTGGAAACTCTGTGAGCGCACTTCATGTTACATCACATTGTGGCACATGCAGGGAGGAGGACATTACATAATGACTAGTTTTAAACTAGAATAATGCTAAACTGGTTAGCATGTTTGGGCCAGTGGCTTAAGTTCGATGTCTGGCCTGGTAAACTTTTCCCACATCAGCAGGCATGTTCGTATTTTTATACGGTCACCATTTTTTTAAGCTTATAGAGATTTTTCATAGATACTGTAAGTTCTAGCCGAAGACGGCATGTCTTTTAAACCCGACTTCCACACAGAGTAGGGTATTCATATTCATATTTGATTTGACAAGATCCCTGTTTGTCACACCAGCTACAGCACCACCAACAGCCCTGTAAAGAACAGTGGGAGCCCTTTCACAGGACATAGACGTTCCGATGCCCCTGGAGTCGTGAGCTTCGCGTAGTGGTAGTGAGGTTGCTGAAGAACCAATGCTCCTTCAAAACAAAAAGCTTTTTGCTGTGGAGGTTCTGTTCAACTGGGGAGGGGACTGTTACCCAGATAAAGTCCAGAACATAGAAAGATGGATGTACCGCTTTGGGATTCATGAAGTCCTGCATCCATTTCAGAATTGACTTTTCCAAATGAATCGATTTCTTTCATTCAAAACAGGGCTATGTGGCTTCATGTGATTCTGGCAAGTAGTAAAGAAGTGTATGATATCACACTGAGGACACTACCTCCCTGTTTTTCTAAACACACATTGGCGAATGAGTAGTAAATGCAGACTACAAATCCTCTCTACAGTTCTGATTAGTCCTTGTGTTGTGGCATGTGTTGACAGATCCAGGATCTGGCCATCCGCTGCATCCAGAAGAACATAAAGAAGAATCGGGGCGTCAAAGGCTGGCCATGGTGGAAGCTCTTCACCAACGTCAGACCTCTGATAGAGGTGCAGCTCACTGAGGAACAAATCCGAGGCAAAGACGTAAGTACACACACACACACACACACACACGCACGCGCAGAAGAGCGTTTAGCACAGTGGATGTGTGAACGAGAATTCTCTCCCATACTACAATTTAGTTCAATTAAAATTTAAGTCTGTACAGTCTGCACGGATGTGACATCCTCTGTCCCGAAACCCTCACAACAGCACAGGAAAAACTCAAAAAATGAAAACCCTTCGATGTGGAAAAAAGGGAATAAACCGCAGGGAAAACGTCAGAGGAGGGATCCCTCTCAGACAACAATATGTTATGCTAAGCTAATAGGGCTACATTTGTGGTGGGAGGGATGGTGGACGGGCCAAACTGCGTTCTGTTGACTAAACCTATCTTCCTGTGTATACAGAAGTTTATTTTGAAGATGGACTATATGTAACGAATAAAGCGACCTAGAGTGCCATACTTTGAAGTCTAGGTCACTGACCAGGCGCTGCTATCATGAGTTGTGAGTGAGAATGTGTTTAACTGGCAACGTACTCTTGCATTAGAGGGGCTATTTTGCATTGTGCATATTAATAGGAAAGATGTATTTTATCCATTCGCTAATTCACATTGAAATAGAACACTCTTTTTCTTCCAAACAGATTGGATTTTCTTATTGACCAGATTCAGATTAAATACGACTATACAGGCACCTCAACAACTACAGACAAATATAATCACTAATTTTATAGCAATATTTACAATTAATGTGGTTTGATAATGACATTTAATCCATTAAACTCTGTCGGATCCATAAAATAAATGTCAGAGGATGTGCACGAGGAAAATACTCATAAGCACACCCCTACAATTAGGCAAAAATGAGATAACGCTGATGAGTATAATGAATTTATGTGTTGATTAATTCACTCCAGCTGCTATATCCTCACAAACATGTCTCTATGTCATTAACTTCCCTCTCAGGAAGAGATCCAGCTGCTGAAGCAGAAGCTGGAGAAGGTGGAGAAAGAGAGGAACGAGATGAGACTCAACAGCGACCGCCTTGAGAGCCGGGTAAACGCACAGTAACAGATGGACGCATGAACTTAGCAGGGTTCATTGTCAAGAAGCACCTTAGAATGCTGAGAACAAAATGTAAAGACTTATGAATCTTTCATCAAGAAATATGATTCTGACGAAGAGCAGTCTGCTAGAGTTAGAACAACAGTACATTTTATTCTACTAGATAATATAGCCTCCAAGCTACACATGCATATGTAACATAAAGCATAAAGGTGCCTGATATGTGCTGTGTGTGTGTTTGTGTTGACGCGCTGCATCAGATCTCAGAGCTGTCATCAGAGCTGGCTGATGAGCGCAACACCGGGGAGTCAGCCTCCCAGCTGCTGGAGTCGGAAACTTCAGAGAGACTCCGCCTGGAGAAGGACATGAAGGACCTGCAGGTAGACATACACACACACACCCACAGAAGACGGCCGCTTGTGAAGTCACACAAGCGGCCGTCACACAAGTCACATGTGACTACAATCGAGTCGGGTTTGGTTCACATGCTGCCCCGTTAAACTGTTAAACTGAGCTTGGATTAAATCTGTCACACGCCATGGGAGTAATGCCTCACCGTGTCCATTAACGATCTGACTCAGGGCTTTCTCCCAAGCACAGTTCCATTAAGGCAAATGAAAATGGAACTGCCTTATTGTGATGGCAAATAGATACGGATAATACTTACAATTAGCTTTTAGCCGTAAACTAAAAGTGTTTTCTACATTCTGCCACTTCATGCTGATGTTTCCTTTTGATGCACATTGGAAAAAGTAGTTTTAATATCTGCTCATGTATCTATAAACTTAACGTCAGCACATCAACTTGGATTATTCAAGAGCCGAACTATTAGCCAACCCTGCTGTCCTTTTGAGAGTATGTATCGTTTATTTGAGTATTAACGTTGGAAGATTTCATCATTGCGTTTTGTAAAGACACTTAATTTTAGCTGATGCTTTTATCCAAAGCAACTTACATTTTTAACCCATGGCTTTTATATTTATGCTTGGGGGAGCAATTAGGGGTTAGATATTTCGCTCAGGGGCACTTTGACATGGGACATGGAGCAGCCGCGGCTCGAACCGCCAACCTTGCAGTTCCCAGCGCACCCTCTCTACCCCTGCGCCACGTCGACCCCAGTAATAATTAAAGACCTTAGAGATCCTAACACATAGTTCACTGAACTGTAGCAAGGTCTCAGAGGAATACAGTGTTCCACTTTGGTCAAATTGAAGATTTCAGTCCAGGTTTTCCAAGCTGGTGGGACACAGGAGCCCCCCCCTGACAAAAAAACCCTAGTATTCTTTATATGTGCAAGTTCAAATGATCCCCTACAGGTTTGTGTTGCTCAGCAGTGAGCCTGCAGGAAAACACAGCTGGCTGTGCTGTTAAACCTTACTGTCCATATTCATCTGTCACCTTCAAACAACATCATCCTGTTTTGTAAATATATGCCCTTTAATTAGTTAGTTTAATGTCGGGGCATTCAAGCGCACAACGCCGTATGTGGTTCAAAGCCTATTATCGCCCCTTTGCTTCAAAATTTCCAGACTACCTCTAGGTGCGAAATTGCTTCCGCTCAATGGTACAATCTGTTCTTGAAGAGTACTGTAGATTTGATCCCCCTAATTTAAAGTGCAGTCGTGCTAAAGAGATCGCTTTACAGCTATTATGTGTGTAGGGAATGATTATAGCAGCCATCAACCCTTTGGACAGACTGCATACATGGCAGGCAGTATTAAGACGACTTAAAACGACCTAGCTCTTAAATTCACTAAATACATTTTCTACCCAAACAGCAGGGCAGCCAGCGTTTCCTTGACAACCGCAACAATGAAGCTCCCCATGCGTTCGTTTCTACAAGCTGCTCCACCAGCTCTCTCTTCTCCTGCCCCCTCTGCCTGTCTCTCTCACACACACTCACACACACACAGTCACAGTGATGAGTGATGACTGTAATTGTGAAATTATATTTTCAGGCCATTTCTCCAAAACTGCTCTCTCCCAGCTCTCTCCATTCATTTTGTCACTGTTTGACATTGTGGGTTTTTATGGGGAGGGGGATTTGATTATTTTTCCAGTGATTGTTCACATAGCCATGTGGATGGGGCAGCTCATACATACATGTGGGATGGGTGTTATTCCCCTCCTGTTTGTGTGTGTGTGAGAGTGAGTGAGTGGTTCATGTATGTTGGGAATGATGTTGCACCGGAATGGAATAGTACCATTGTAAGCAGGAGACATTTCCCCCATCTGTTGGCCCCTGACTCTTCAGGCTGTTTAATGCCCCTCTATTCAAGGAAACAGACTTGCAAAACCCTGCAGGACTTGCAGTTAATCTCTGGAGGCATACGTGTGTTTGTGTGGTCATGGAAACCGTTTCCTCCCTCTCATCCATCAGGCCAAGTTTGACAGCATGAATAAACAGATGGAGTCCATGGAGATGGAGGTGATGGAGGCTCGACTCATCCGAGCGTCTGAACTCAACGGAGAGATGGAAGATGACAATACAGGTCAGACACCATGTCATCTACATAACAGTGATTCTGATATTAATGTCTCTTACTCATAAAAGTTACTTACTCATAATAATACAAATAGTCACCATAGTTATATTAAACAGACAAAAGCAGAACTGTAAGCAGGCTACTTTACTACTAATGCTGATTAATTATTTTTCTGTCAGTAAACAAATGCATTAAACGACTGAAAGATAAAGTGATCACACTCACACAACAAAAGTCATTTAAAGTTACCTTACCTTGTTCCCTTATTAAACAAACTAAATATACAGTGCATCCGGAAAGTATTCACAGCGCTTCACTTTTTCCACATTTTGTTATGTTACATTACATGTTAAATTCATTATTTTCCTCACATTCTACACACAACAACCCATAATGACAAAGTGAAAACAGTTTTTTGCAGTTAAAAATAAAGAACGAAACGAAAATAAAAGTACGAAAATAAAAGTACGAAAATAAAGTTAAAAAATAAAGAACGAAAACATAACATGTACATAAGTATTCACAGCCTTTGCCATGACACTCAAAATTGTTGGGGGAAAATGGCGGTGACCATCCGTCTATCAGCACCCACGCCCCCACCTGTAAACAGTATGTTTATTTAGCAAACAATGAGACAACAGGACGTCATCCACAACGCACACCACTGAGAGTAAATACACACACGTTACAGAAGAAGTAATTCCTTGTCGTACTGCAGTGTTCAATGGCGCTGCAGGAACTTTAGGGGGTGGTGTTCAATCGATGCTTTGACAAAAGCCAAGAAGCAGGGGATGTGAAGGAGTACATTATTAATCGATCAGCTACAAGTGGGTCCAGTTCCAGACGCCCTGCAGCCAGGCTGCCAGCTGTTTTTGTGTCAGGCACAGTTTAAAAAGACAGGATTGGATTGATTAAGTGTGTCCACGTTGCATTGTGGCGGAGTAGAGTTGCGTCTCCTGTGAAATGGCACTGTGATACAATTGTAATGGTGTTGACTTTCAATATGTGAGGGTGTTCTGCTTTATATTAGTATTTTATAGACTTGGATGGAGGCAGCAGAGTAATTCACCAGTGGATGTACTCGTACATCATACAAAACTAATTTGAAATGGTTAGTTGATCACTTAAAGGCGAAACATCTGAACCACGATGCTGAATATTGAAATCCTCATTATTGGCCCCTAACCACTTTCTACTTGGTGGGGGTCTCACTCAGCCTCCTTTTGATCTCAACACAGGTGTAAATTTGTGAGTGCATGTTGTGTAGGGTTGGCTTCTGCAAACCGGAGCCAAACAATAGCCTACCGTTTGTATTGCTACAGTAGCTAGCTAGCCATCAGCCTTCTATTTAGGGCAATACTGTCAGTACTGTAAACTCTTGTTGACTGTTAATGTATTGTTCATAGTTTAAAGTTGAAAACAGTTTAAAGGTGTAGTTCAAAGTCAAGGGTTTTGCAGTTGGTGTACTTAAAATAGAATATATTGTTCATTTTGAAGAAAATGCATTGAAAAAAACAAACGATACCCATTCGTAATCTTGTGTGATAGCAATGTTATAGGGTTGAATATATATATATATATATATATATATATATATATATATATATATATATATATATAAATAACACAACCGGATAACAACGAGGCTTCTTTTAAAATATAATCTATATCCAATTATATCATTATACAACATACACAAGAGGGGAAGCTACTTTTTTCATTTCAATCAATTCATTTTAATTCTTCCTAAACTACCCACTTGATTCTCGAACAGTGAAATCCAAATTTGTGGGTGCTTCCACAATACAGCTTTTTAATCTTTGGCCGTTTAAAAAGTCTATATATGGGTCCCTGTAAATGGATTTTTCATCAAAACTACAAGTACATTTTCTATATTTAGTATGCAATTATCATCCTTTGCAAAAATAGTTTGACACCAACAACAGGGTTTGGTTTACAACATGTATTTATTTTTTACTTAAATCCCAAACTATTTGTAACAAATACTGTTTTTGTTACATGTGGTATGGGAGATCTGTAAGCATATTGAGATCCAATAAGGTGAAGCGGACTGAACATTCTAATGTGACAGGAGGAGAGTGGAGGCTGAAGTACGAACGAGCCATCAGGGAGATTGAATTCACCAAGAAGAGACTGCAGCAGGAGTCTGATGACAAGCTGGAGGTGGAGCAGCAGAACAAACGGCAACTGGAAAGGAGGGTGAGTGCACATCCCGCCTTTGGTCCCATCATGTACTGTACAATTACATGATGGGAGTGTTGTCTATGGTACCATATACATCTGTACCAAAAAATCTGTTTTATTGCAACACAAATTTTATATGTCCCGCCAACCGATTTTCAAAAGTTCAAACGAACGCCCATATCAGTTTCACAGTCTATGAAGGACAGTTCAAGAAACCATCTGGTAAGGCTGCTAATACAAATTTTGAGATCAAGTGTATTATGAAGTGATAATAAATGCACCACGCAGTCATTTCTTAAGACACACAACTCTACAATTGACAAAGAAGAAAAACTCAATGTAAATATTTAAATCTTGCTTTGCTGCTGCAGACAGGGAAACTGCGTGGAGAATGTTGAGGGCCAATTAAGGAGGGTAAAATACGGTTCTAGTGATAAAAAGATCTTACATGCTCTTCTTTAAAGTTAGGCATAATGTATGAAAGTTGTATCTCTCAGCCAATAGACCTACTGATATCTGAATGTGGACTGGTGGGAGGATGTTTCCTTGATCAGTCCACACACAGGTAAACATGTGATCCTGTAAATTGAAATATTAATACAATTAAACTTATCAAGCTGTTAAAATCTAATTATGTTTCTTGCGCTCAAGTTGTTACACATTGCATGGCCTTGTTTATTTCATGGCCTTGGCAATTCTCAGCAACAGGCCTTGCAACACGCCTGATCAGTTGCAAATGTGCGTTTGTGCAGATCAGCGACCTGCAGGCCGATAACGAGGAGTACCAGAGAAACATCCAGCAGCTGAAGAAGAAAGCCCAGCGCGCAACAGCTGAACTGCAGGACACCAAACTTCACCTGGAGGGCCAGCAGAGCCGCAACCATGACCTGGAAAAGAAGCAGAGGAAGTCAGTGCACACACACACATACTGTCACATATATGTGTGTAGGTTCACATGACTTGCAGCTGCATTAGCTCCTCCTGCCGTCTTACCACACACTTTGATGCTGTCGTGACAAAAATAACTGTATTGAAAAAATGAAGTGTGTTCCAGATTGTTTATAGCACTGTGCTGTGCACAGAGAACACGCAAGTCTCCAGCTCATTTATACATCTGCTAGCTCGTCTGTGTGTGCGTGTGGCTACCCTCAAGGGGCATGCCCTGTAGCGGTGTCTTTGTTGAGGAATATGCATGATGTAGTTAAAACATGTAGGATCGTCTTTGTGACCAGCTCGGCACATTAAAAGGGATTCCCTTGTCCACAAACTTTTCCACTGTGAGTTTATGTGCCCGGAGTAGCAGATGTTGATCACAGGAGTGTGTTCTGGCATTCAGGTTTGACAGTGAGCTGAGTGGAGCCCAGGAGGAGGTGCAGAGGGAGAGGAGCCTGAGGGAGAAACTGGCCCGAGAGAAAGACGTGTTGGCCGGAGACGCTTTCAGCCTCCGTCAGCAACTGGAGGTTGGTGTCCCACCTTTGTGTGGATAATGGGATTGTCTTTGAATTCCATTTTATCCTAATTATTTTCATGCCAAATGATAATAAAGTGCCACCATTTCACCTCATGAAAGCAAAAATTAAAAAATGATAATCCGATATTATTCTAATCCTTATGTAAGCATTATATAACAGCCTAGGGCGAAAAGCGGTAAAGATTAATTGACTTTCCAGTCGTTCTGTTCTCAAGGGACAGAAAGGAAATTGTTATCATTAAAGAAAATAGTCCCAATCCAAGGTATACTCCTTCCTTTTCCTGGACCTTTCAAACAGACCATCACCTTTAAAAAGCTTTTTGTTACCCTTCGTTAGTCCCTATGCAAACAAGTTTTCACTACATCACCACTCAATGGACATTTAGACGCTTACTAGTCCCGATTTGCGTCTTCACTGACAGCTTTAGTGTCACTGTGACCCATTGCGTTATGGGATTTCCAACATTGAGCAGTATACATGGACACTACTCTATTTGCTGTAGGACAGTAAACGTAAAGGTCCTGCTCACTTCTTTAATGTGGATGTATTGACATGTAAGCTCAGTAGCTTTTTTTTCCAATTAGCCCCTTTGTCAACAGATTCATCACCATGACAGCAACACACACTTCATCCGCTGATAAAGACTGAATCGATTACAACAAGCTAGCACCAAAAGAAAATGCATAACAAGGAAAAGATTTTTGTAAAAAAGTAAATCAATGATCAATGAAGCAGCAAATTGCATACTGATCTTAGCAATCCTAATATAATTTCTTATTATAAAGTGAACTTAATATTGCTATGTATTAACAACATTTCAGAACTTAATTCAGATTAAAAACTGGTAAAAGTTTTGAAATAATTGTTATCTTTACGTTAAAGTTACTGTGAGGAACTTTTACCTTGTTCAGGTTATTCCCAATGCCCACTGACCTACATCAGTAGACACGACGTTCAGTGGGAAGATTTCTTCCTGTGTAGTTATTTTTAATGCTTATCGGATTCTAGTTAAATCAGACGAGCAGTGTGTATGGGCAGGGCCGTTTGAAGGAATTTGGGGGCCCCAAGCAAAATGGACATGGAGGCCCCCCCAAGCCCCCGCCGCGCGCACGCAAAACCTACAGGAACCACAGCACAGCCATAAAGTTTAAGTTCACCCACACTTTGTATATATAAAAAAGGGTTTACAGTGCATAAACATAATGTGCATGAAATTTGAACATTTAACAATTTAACATTTGCACACTACCATGAAATCAAATGGTACACACACACACACACACATTTACACTCACATTTTTCAGTTCTCACAAACATGTGCAAATTATCTAAAACTGCTGTTTGCGAGCCTTGTTTTGTGCAAAGGCAATCACAATGTCCTCCATGTCCAAAGACTGGCGAACATCGCGCTCAATTGAAGTAAGTGGGCTAGGGTTGCCAACTGTCCCGTATTAAGCGGGACATCCCGAATTATGGGCATTTTTGATTTGTCCCGACCGTGACAGCTCCAGTTCCGTTTTCCAATCACAGCCTCCTAAGTCAATGACGCGCAAAAAACTCCCGGTGGTTGTGACGCATCCGACCAGTGTGGTCAAAGGGGCGCTCACACAGTTTGTCGTTGCATTTGACTCTTAACCAGTCGTTGTCTTGAGGCCCCTGGCCAGCTCGGGGCCCCAAGCAATTGCTTGGTTTGCCTGTCCTGTCGCGACGGGCCTGTGTATGGGCCACCTTTCACCGGTCTACCCAATAACACTGAAAATACCACACGTAAAGTAACTGTGGTAGCTTCTCAGTTTTGAAATATGAACTACCTTGGTACAAGGTCCATATTTAGATGGCATTGCTCACAGTAGTCTTCCTTTTAGTGAGCTCTCACAGATCAGTCACTTCTTCTGTGCTAAAGATGAGCCTCTTGATGTTGAACTAAAGAGTAATCCATCCATCTATCAGAGGGAGCAAATTGTATTATACAATTATATATTATACATGGAGCTTAAAAACAGATGATGTGAAATACATAATCTGTCCAAAACATATAAGAGCTGGAGCATGGCATGATCTGTTTGGTTGTAGGTCTAAACTGCAATAATGGTTAACTTTCATCACAAGTGCTTCATAAGTCATATTAAATGAACTTTTCAGAGAGCTGAATTATGATCACCTGCATACCTTGTGGAAAATTGTACACACTGTCTTGTAAGTGAATGGCCTTTGGACACGTATGTATCTTGGTTACTTCCATGAAACAAGGTTTGGGGGCGGCCCCATAGCACGAGTTTGTAATGTTTAAGTTCTGGAAATATGTTTTGTGTGCATATTGAAGCTCACTGCTGAGCTGAGTTAGTAATTGTTCCCTCGTCATGTCCCTTGTCCCTGTCTCAACTATCACTCTTTCTGTTCTGGCTGTAACTGTCTGTCCTTCAGGACAAGGACCTGGAGGTCTGTGCAGTCAACCTGAAGCTGGACCAGCTGGAGGCTGAGCTGCAGGACCTCAACTCCCAAGAATCCAAGGATGAAGCATCGCAGACGAAGGTCTTCTTTCTCTCTTTAGTATTATTCCCCTGTTGTGTTATTGTATTTACTGCTGCGTGTGTGCTAGTAAGCTCTTTGTACTTTCACTGCTACAGCAGTTTCTCATTGAATTCAAGGATAAAATGTGTCCAATCTTTTGATTGGTACTATCCTTTTTCATACTTTTTCCATTGTACTGTATTATATTATTCAGGTGAGAAAGCAACTTCGGGACATTGAGGCCAAGCTGAAGGACCAGGAGGAGGAACTGGACGAGCAGGCCGGTACCATCCAGATGTTGGAGCAGGTACAGACAAAGCGCAGGAAAAGGTTCAGCTTGGATTGCAAAAAAAAAACCTGACGAAACCTCAGGCAGACTAACAAGTAACATACACAAGCATTCTAATGTAGTGATGCTGGTGTCCATCCGATGAATGTCCTTTTCACCCCACTGGTTCTCCACCAGCCCCTGAGGCAAATGTCTGTCTCCATAGCTGCTCAATGCTCAGAATGCTTAGCAGCTAGACTGTAGCCTGTTGTCTAGCAGGTAGAGGACAGTGGTTTTAACACAAGGGGTTTGTTCAAAAGTAGTGCAGTGCGGCTGAGCTGTGTGGGATGGTGCTGTGAAAGCCAGAAGAGGCTGTAAGGCTCCATAGAACTGACAATACCTGCAATGTTGGTGATAAGTCTCTATGGATTTGTCCGCAAACACCAACGACTTTAAACAGCATAAATTTCATGCAACGGTATTATAAGCAAACTACCAGTACTGCTGCTGTGAAGGAAGATTTTACCCCAAAATGGCAACGCGAGGATCCACTTGGCCTCTATTTGATAGCAAGCTGACACCCACAGTGACACGGTTTTCTCTAAGTAACACACAAACACTTACACAATGTCCTGTTACTGGTGCTGGGTGTGGTGTGAGCAGGTTATGAATATTTCACTTTAATTTACTTTTTAGAGAACTAAATGAGAGAGGGAAAAGATCCTGTTGGTAAAACAAATAGGATCTGATCATGTTTCCAATAAAACATAATGCTTTGTTATCTTCCATTAAGAAATATTATGTAATATTATCGGCTAGTGCTATTGCTTTGCAATCAAAAATATCATCAAATACAGAGAAAAGCAAGAATGAAGAGCTGATTCACCAAAATCTAACATTCATTTACAGTTACGTTGTAAGGAATGAAAAGATACATCCACTCTCCACAAAACCCTGTGGCCCCATGCCGCATAGCCATGTGTGTGAGTGCATGCGTGTGTGTCACATCCTGACCCTATCACTGAACAAAGACATTATCCATACTACACTTTTTTAATATACTATTTATCTAAATTGAGAAAAGACAAACACAAAGTAGACCTGGCAACGGCTGTGGGTGTAGCCGTCCAATCCCTATACACCCAAAGCGAGAGCTGTGTTTGGCTGCTCAGCAGTGGAAGTCTGAGGCGTTTCTGGTGGGGGTTGGCCTTTGCCAGGGTTTGTGGTCTTCATGGACAGGATATCGAGGCGTAGTCGGGGGAGGAGGATCTACAGTTCGGGGGTCTGCGGATTTCATCGCTGCTTTTTGAAGATGATGTGGTCCTGATGGCATCTTCTGTCTGTGACCTCCAACTCTCACTGGAGCGTTTCGCAGTCGAGTGTGAAGCGGTCGGGATGAGGATTAGCACTTCTAAATCTGAGGCCATGGTTCTCAGTAGGAAACCGATGGATTGCCTACTCCAGGTAGGGAATGCGTCCGTAGTAACTCGGGGTCTTGTTCACGAGGATGGAGCGTGAGTTTGGCCGGAGAATCAGAGCAGCGGGGTCGGTATTGCACTTGCTTTACCGCATTATTGGCATATACACATCTATGAATTAAACATAGAAATAAGGTGGGAAACTAGCTACGGCTTACTTTAAGACAGAGGAGAGCAAAGTGTACAACGTCAGTGTTTCTCTTTCAGGCCAAGCTACGTCTGGAAATGGAGATGGAGCGTCTGCGTCACACTCATTCCAAGGACATTGAGAGCAAAGACGATGAGGTGGAGGAGATCAGACAGTCGTGCAGCAAGAAGGTAACGACGTGTCCGAGGGTAAACAGTGGGTGTCCAAACTGGAAAAAGAGCAATCAAAACCCAGAGTTGCGGTGAATGTAACAGAGAAGTTTATTTGTTATAAAGAGAGGGGACAAAAACTGTAACTGAGGATGGCCGTGGGCGTCCCGATGCGAATCCTCTAGGGTAGTACCGCCCATCCAATACCATAGTTGTGTCTCAAAGCCGCTAGGCTGCATCCTTGTAGCCTCCAGCCTTCTGCTGATAACATTTCGATCCGTCGATATTTGAGTGAATTCTATTACTTAACGTTACATTTAAAAGTGAACTCTTCCGTTGGATCAACCGCCTCCGTCCTGAACAAATTAAATCCTCGTCGGACCGCACTGCATGCTGGAATATGCTGGGCCGCAAAGGATAGATCAGATGTGTCCTCCAAATTGGGTGCTGGAAGGCTGCATCCCTCGACCGCGTTCGGAGCAGCCGACGGATTGGGACTGGCAAGTCGCAGCGGAAGTGACATATGCGGTCGACGAATGCTTCCATAAGGATGCAGCCTAGCGACTTTGAGACACAGCCAATGCCTTTTGGTGGCCCTCGCCTGGCTGCACCTAGCCATGTGGGGCAATGACCAACCATTTTCTCTTTTATCCAGTCTTGATGTCTTTGTTGACATGTGTAGTTTGTATCAACTTTCGGACCCCGATGGTTAACATACTCACTGGGGCCAAATTAACTATTGAGGGGTTTGGATTTGAATTAGTATTTGCTGCTCATTCTGTTTGCTGATAACACAAACTCCCCTCTATGTTGATCTGTTGATTGGTAAATGAATAAGCCAAATGTCAATTTTCACAACACCATTACTGTGAATATAATATAGGACTGACGTCATCCTCACCCTTCTGCTGCTTTCACATTCTCATTTCTTACAGAAATACAATTTCTATTCAGGTACATTTCCAGCGTTGTCCTCACTTGATTGCTATAAAGCTGCTGCCAATGAAACACAACACTTCCTGAACAGATATGTCACATTTAAAGCCTTCCAGCAGCACTGGGATAATTCCTTCTTTCACCCGGGCTTTTGATTTGAACCATCGTTTAAAGTTTAACCGACCGCAGGCTCAGTAGTAAGAAGGAATGGAAACAGTCATTGAATTCAAATTTCAAATGTAAAACTGTAGAACTGTGAGCAGCAGAGTGGTTTGTATCACTTATTGTTTGCACTGTTTTTGCATTCCTGAGTAAAATGCACTACATAGAATACCTTTAGCTTTCATTAGTGACCATGTTTATAAAACAAATTCTTGCTCACGGGTTACATCGACAATCCATTGGTGCCTCCAGTGCCATATGATATCAGTCTGGGGGGTGCAGTGTGTTGGTGTACATGAGGATGGCTGAGTGAGTGGGTGGAAGGTTTGTAGTTGAAACCTGGGTATCTTCAGCATTGTTGCTTTTTCTGCTGTTAATGCTGTTTTGCATTTGCTTCGATTTTCCATTGTGACCGCCCTTCACCAGCCAAGTCCTAATTATCACACGCAGAATGAGCTTTTTCCGCACTGTGCTCCCGCTGCGTCTTCCAGTGACATATTCCCATAGTGATGTAATGCTTGATCATGGTTTTTACTGATTAATCGCGTTAAGGAAGCAGACCTATAGTAGTGTCTTTGTAAAAAGTGGACATTATATTATTCATCAAAGAACCTTGCTCATTATGCATCAAAAGTCTATAAAGACACATGCTATGTAAACTGGCTGGTGTAAGAACGTGGGATAGGTATGTACTATAGTTATCTCCCTACTATCTGTCCAGCAAAACTACTGAAGTATCACCATTGATTTCCATTATCCATTTTTTGATCAACGCTGATCTAAGACTGTGAATACTTATGTACATGTTTTTTTTTTTAACATTTGCAAAGAACAGTTTTCACTTTGTCATTATGGGTTGTTGTATGTAGAATGTTGAGGAAAATAATTAATTTAATCCATTTTGGAATAAGGCTGTAACATAACAAAATGTGGAAAAAGTGAAGCGCTGTGAATACTTTCCGGATGCACTGTAGTGCTGTAGTGTAGGATGCACTGAGTGTTTTTGCGTGTGTCCAGATGAAGCAAATGGAAGTCCAGCTTGAGGAAGAGTATGACGAGAAGCAGAAGGTGCTGAAGGAAAAGAGAGAGCTGGAGTCCAAGCTTCTATCAGAACAAGACAAGGTAACTACACCGTAGCATGTAGTAGATCGCGTCCCGTTGGAGCTTGGACAGCACCTTGGATGGAACATGTAAAAAAAATAGTGCTGGGTAACAAATACAAATTTTAATCGCATGAATATCTGCTATTAACCGCATTGTGATACGCAAAATTAAATAATGAATTTAAAAGTATGGTATTTTATTTGTTCAAACCCTTTAAACAAATATGGTATTTTTTTAAAGCAGTATTTCCTTTACACAGTAGCAGTTACGATATTTCTTGTAAATCTCAACTCAAATTTAATAAAATGAAAAAATTATAGTAAAAAGGAATGTAATCAAATATAAAAAAAGCTAAATGCCAATGCCAGGGCAATGCAATTTTTTTCTAGAAACAAGTTTATCATAAGATTATAACAGGTAATGTTGTTGTTGTTGTTGTTGTTGTTTTTTTCGGCACCTGACTTTTCTTGAGTGGAATTCAGTAATTAGTCAATAGACAGAGAATTTATATTTAATTGTCAAACTGTCCTTGAAATTCATCGTTTTACCTTGTATTAAGATGTTTTGTCAAACTATGATGTTAATCATTTCAATATGTCTATTAACAAACATTTCCAAATAAATTCTTAGTCTTACTCTTATCCAGACGATCTTTAACCGAGGGAATGTTACTTAAACGTAAATATCTGTAATTTTAACAGCAATAAGATCTCTATTTTTAATAATGATGGATGATATAATTGCAAAGTATATGGTTTTCCATCTATAAGCCATACTTTTGTGTTAATTTAGCTCTAATCTTAGCATAAAAAATTAGGGATTGGGCCATTTAAAATATTCACATTGGGCCCTTTTAAATGATTTTTGTCGAAATGTTCACATGGAGTGAATCCATGGCCAATCCATGATCAGTTGAGTCACCAAACCTAACTTTACCGGTTTACCAGGTGAGAAGTGGTGACATGGAGACTGAAAAGCGTTTGAGGAAGGACTTAAAGAGAACCAAGGCCCTGCTGGCTGATGCCCAGATCATGTTGGACCACATAAAGAACAACGCGCCCAGCAAGAGGGAGATCGCTCAGCTCAAAAACCAGGTGCCGTCACATTAAACACACAGGCAGAATGGCACCTGGGGCCTTTTCTTTTGTGCCGTTTGCAAGTCAATACTTTTTTCAAAAAGTTATTTTTTGTCAAATGTGCTTTCACACACGCTACAAAGGTGAGTACATCAGAGTAGATTTGCCAACCTGCATATACACAGTTATGTTGTATTACAATCCCTCCTGCAACACTATGGACCAGAATCAATGCATAGTGTGTTTAAGAGACTGTTTCTCTGGAGTTTGGTTACTAAACTAATACATTTCCATTCACTTATGTCCGTTTAAGCTGGAGGAGTCTGAGTTCACCTGCGCTGCTGCAGTTAAAGCTCGTAAATCCATGGAGGTGGAGATTGAGGATCTACACGTTCAAATGGAGGACATCTCCAAAACAAAACAGGCGGTCAGTACAGATCTCTGAGTTCTTAACTCAACTTAATTTTCTGCCTTTATATTAACATACAATTCAGTTTTTCAGTTATTACCTCTTAAGATTGTTTTCTTCTTTGTATCTCAGCCTCTTTTTGACCTTCATTTTTTTTGTTATGTTGCAGTCTGCCATGACTTTGCTCGCTTTAGGTCTTGTTCCCATAGCATTCTTGTTTCAGGTGTTGGTCAAACGGCCTTCTTTCCTACTTCTTCTTGCGTTTGTCCCACCGTTAATTTAGCCTCAGCCTTACTGTATTTAATCTCTCTCGAGCAGCACTTACTGAATGTGACTGAAAAGTTTGGCTTTAGGAAGGTGAATATCATTTCCACAGTGATGTGAAGGGTAAAAATAATTGAGTTGACACAGCTGCAGGTCAGCAGGAATGGAGGGAGGAGACTGTTCCCTCAGTTTCATTTGTTTGTAATTTATTTCTTGTACCCGCTAACGGAAAGATGTAGCACAATAGGATGTGTAGGTGCGCATACTGAAAATGTTACTGTCAGCTCTTCGAGTTTTCAAATCAACTGGGGAGGAATTGGACTGGATTTTCCACAAGATAATTATAGACCATTTTTAGTTTTTACCTACAACCAAAAAGTCAGATCATGTATTTAATATATGAAAAACAATACCTTAACCCAGCGATTCCCAAAGTGTGGGCCGCGAAGGTACTGCAGGTGGGCCGCGAGAGGTCATTTACAATAAATAAATAAATAAAAAGTTTTTAATTTTCAATTTTGAAAAGTTTGAAATTAATATAAAATGTGTATAAAATATATGTATGATGCGGCACATTAGTTATGTGAAACATTAATTGATGAAGCACAAACAATTTAAACGAACAGATTGGTTAATTGGTTGATCCATACTGGTTGTACACGGCGCTCAAGGCGCTCTGCCAAACATGACAAAGCTCGGTCTACGACGGCGAGATGCTGAGCGGCGCTCAAGCGCGTGAGATATGGAGCTTGTTTCAGGGCGCGTCGGAGAAACAAAGCTGTCGTTCTCGCGGAGCACTTCATGAGATTAAAGAGCGAGAGACGGTGCCCTTTTCTCTACAGTAGCTGAACCATCCTAACGGGGAAATAAGTTATTCTAAAAGCAGCCGAAGATTTAAGGCGTGGATGGCGAGGGGGGCGGAGGGAGCGGACGCACCTCACAGCATCGATCGGACCCTGAAAGCACCGTCTCCAGCGCGAGCAGAGATTCTCCTCGCGAGCAAAGAAGTTCACGTTTCGCAAGCGAGCAAATAACTCGCGCGAGACGGACTTTTGCTGGCGGATGTTTGATTTACGCGCGCATCAACCTGATTTGCGCTCTCGAATTTTGACAGTGATTTGCGCTGATAGACTGCAGTATCTTATGCGCCTTTATTGTGCGGAAAACACGGCACATGAGCTCCGGAGAAAATGGTATACAAAACATTCATTGTCGGTTAATACATTTTTAATCGGTTAAATTCTTACGGTCATTTAATCATCCCTAGTTTAGGTTTTGATCGGAGTTGTGATTAAAGGTTCGGGTGGGCCGCAAAAGATTTTCAGATTTCAAAGTGGGCCGCGGCATTCTTGAGTTTGGGAACCGCTGCCTTCTTGAGTTTGGGAACCGCTGCCTTAACCGATTTAAGCTGAAAACCACTTAGCATTGTTGTTGACATTTTAATGCAACAACAACCTTTCCTGTGGCCAGACCACTCAAAGTATTTATATTCTAATAATTGTTCCATTAGTGTGTATTGTGACTGCATTGAAACATTGTAATACAGTTTGCTATTTGTGACTGATGGTACAGAGGAGCATTACCTTTGAATTGCTCATGGTTTAGTCCTTTTACAGCACTCTTACCAATCATAGTCATGAGAAAGGTCAACATGCTAGCAATGAGGAAAGGCAAGTTAAAGGGTAACGGCAATCATGAAAGGAACATTTAAAAAGAATGATGTTGCTAAATGTTGAACTATCGTAGACCTAACCATCATAAAAGCATAATGAAATTATCAAGTTAGCTAGCTAGTAAGTTAGTTAAGCCAGCCGTTTAGTGAGTGAAATGAACAACTTAATGCTCCATCTACACACTCTGGTCTCAATCATGTTGCAATGAGGAATTAACCTAACCGAAGTCCACAGGACGTGGAGAAAAGGCCTGTGCTGTGCTTCTCACTAGTTTCCCATTTCCATCCCAATAAAACCAGGGAGGATAAGGCAGGGTTCTGGTTTGGAAACCTGAGGCCCAACACCATAACTAGAGTCCGGTTAAAACGAGTCACGTGCACTCCGTGGTACTCCGCGGGTCTGACACTGCAGGACAAAAAACGAAAACATGCAAACTGGTGAGCTACGACATTCAACGGCACCTGAGACCAGCCTGGGTACTGGGACGGACTGACGACAAGCCTGGCAACTCAGGAGCCTTTATGCCCGTCACGGTGATCCCCGGAATGAGCCACAGCTGAGCTATTGAGAGAGGGGCGGGACCGAAGGCGGAACACAGGTGTGGAAACTCTAGGTGACAAAAAACAACAAAACAAAAGCACAGACGGGGGAAAAAAACACATAAGCAGATAAGGACCTGAACAGTTAATGATGCCGTTTGTTCTTTGTTTGAGGCTGTTTATAGGTTAAGCCTGGCATGGCTTCATCTTGGCCATCATTCTGGTTTTATATAATTCTGTAGAAAAGTTTTCCTCCCAAATGCATGGCCCATGTAGTTGAAGGTGAAATGGATAATATAAACGTAAAACCCACGTTTTTTTTTTTAAATGGTGTCTTTGAGGACGACCTCTGCCGCAAACATCCAGCCCTCTGGGGAAGTAAAAGGCTGCTAGAATGACAGAAATGATTATTAGGTAATTATTTTTTGTACAGCCTCAGCCACATGCATTGCTATTCAACCAAGATCAAAATTATGCAAATATTTCTTTCAGATGGTTTGCTGTTTTTACCAAGAGTAGAGCAATGTAATTGGGTTGAGATTGCGCTGCCTATTGATAAATGTTTTAAATGTATGTAAGGGTTGCTTTTGACTGTCAATATTTGCCGTAGTGTCCGTCCCAAAATGTTCCCCACAGTGCAGAGTCTGAGCTGCTTTCAAAGTTTGTATTAGTACTCCAACTGGGAATTTAAAAGAGAAAGTGTCATATGTAAATAAACTTGCCCCAGATTCCGTGGATATTTTTAGTTACCAAAGTCCACCACGTCTCAGCAGTGGGCGTTTGAATAAAAATACACGAGGAATGTCTATATCTGTCTATACCTAATTATCCAAATACTTATTTAGAATCAGCCTTTCGATTCTGTAAATTGAGTAAATTTTTCTTAATTAGATCGATGCTGTGTGAGTTCAACCTGTCCTTGACTACTCGCTATCTGAGATGCAGATCATCTCAGTCACTACAGAAGTGGGATTACTTCAGCACAGTCCCTCCCCTCAGCTGAGGGTACAAAGCAGTTGCTATAAGCTTTTAGCCTCTAATTGGATATCTTGGTTATGACCCGTGCTTAAGATAAGCCCTGTGGGGCCTTGTAATAAAAGGGGTGTTTTAGGAGCTAATGGAGCTGTCCTCACAGAAAAAGCTCTGCTGTGCATAGACTGGCCCACATAGCAAGTCAAAGCACAACTCCAGGCTAGAACTATGATTTATAACTACTTACAAAGATAATCAAAGGAATACACCATTGTTCCTGAAAAATTATCCCTACACGTTTATAGATGACCTACAATCAACATATAAAATATAACTGTGTCAAGAAGCTGTAATTTGGGTAATGTATGTAATGTATATGCATTATATGCTTTATAATTTATATATAAACATAGAAAATAACTAAATGTAATGCCATCTAAAAGGAATGGCCCAAACTGTTAACAAAAAAAAAAAAAATGTCTTAGTTCCGACATAGTCACAATGCCTTGAGTTTTACATGTTTCCATGATGGAAATGTTTACAACGTTTATTGAAGTAATAAATCGTAAGAGTCATTTTCATAGACTTCTTTAGGACCAGAGAAGTCGCCCCCTGGTGGATATTATAGGACGCTGCTTTTCTGCTGCTATTCAACTGAGAAATGGGATTTGTTCATAGTGATGACTGTAAATACATTGAGTAAATGTTGTGAGAGCTTTTGGCCTTCTCACTGCAATGTGTGTGTTCTTTGTCCTTGATGTTTGCTAATACTCACTTATTTATTGACGAGCCGCTCTTGTTTGCTGGAAGGCTGTGGTAAAGGGTATTGTTCTCTACTAAAAGCTTTTTTTAACAGGCGTTGTGATCCTTTTCACAATCGTCTGTGGGATTTAACTTATATTAGTTTATTACAGAGCTTCACCGGTGAGATGCCTATCCCTTTGTTTATGGCCTCTTAGGGTCTAATTTTGTCCCACACAGATGGGTTGATGTATTTATGGATCTCTTTGATTTTCTCGATGGCGTTCAGCTGGAGGAGCAGCTGAGTCGTCTGCAAAGAGAGAAGAATGACCTCCAGTCCAGGATGGAGGAGGACCAGGAAGACCTGAACGAGCTGATGAAGAAGCATAAGGCTGCTGTGTCTCAGGTGGGCTGTTCTCCTTGTACATTGTACAACATTGTCACCTGGAATTTGGAGCCAATTAGCCAATTAATTTATCCATTTCTTTAGGCAGCATTAGTCTTTTAATAATTGATTAACCATATTTTAAAGGGAAATTATGAAAAGGAATTTTGATTACAAAACTCCTTTTGGAAAAGGCTCAAACCACAGACCGTGATTAGCTAATTAAAATCCAGACGCACAAGCTATAAAGCATCATGAAATTAAGGTGTAAGTGCCTTGCCCAATGGCACATCAAAGAGGAATTGCGCAGCTGGGGTTCAATCCGCCCATCCTAAATGAAAAAGGACCCTGCTCTACAACTGAGCCAGAGTCAAACCGGGTGTAGTATGAAAAAACAAAATTGGTGAATCATTTACTTACTCAAAACAAGCATTTTGGATTAGAGTCAAATTGTTCCTTCAATTCAAGTGAAGTAATCACTTATCAATGTCTCATACGTGTTCATGCATTTGCTCCCTTAAACATGTGCAGAATATATATCTCGGCACATTCATACAATATGTCACTGAACAGAACTTTCAAGTGATTCGCAAAACCAACCAGTACCGTATTGATCAGTTACACAGCTGATACTGTGTCAGCAATAAAGTCGAATCATCCATCATGTAACAAAGAAACCATATCGATGCCAGTCAATGGGCTCCATGCACGTTGTCTAAATGTTTTTGAAAGCAAAGATTTGCCCATTTCCCTAACACTTCCCTAACACACACAGGTTCCACAAAGCATGTCAAAAACGTCCCACGTTATTTTTAAAAAGCTCAAATCCCTGTATCTAGCTTGCATCAAATGGATTAGTGGCGTTTATCTCCGCTAATTGAGACATTTTTGAAAAGCGGTGGTGTTCGGCTAGTTTGCATTAGTGTTAATGTAGCAAGTGTAGTAAAAAGTGCTTCCTTTTCATTGCTGATGGAATGACGAGTGATCTGCTCCCACTAGCTCCAAATGAATTCATCCTTCCTGTCTAAACTGAAGCAGATGAATTCCCTGTGGGAGTGGCTGTAGCAGAATGCTTCATCTAATGTGGAGAAGTCCTCAAATATTTCACTCAGATCACCTTGAAAGGAGATTCATTGATCGGCTTTCACCAGACTAGAAGAAGGTGCAAAATATATATTTTTAAATCATACAATGTGATTTCCTGGATTTGTTTTAGATTACAGACTCCCACATGCTTTCTAAGTGTGAAAACCTGCAAAATTGGCGGTGTATCAAATACTTGTTTTCCCCACTCTATAGTCAACATACTGTATAATTAATATGCTTCTGAGGAATAATAGACATGTTTAATTACCACCTAATGTATTATGTTGCTCACTGACTCTGCTCCTCTCATGTGTTTTTGTGGTTCCAGTCGGCACAGAACCTGGCTCAGATCAGTGACCTACAAGCCCAGCTGGAGGAGACCCTCAAGGAGAGGCAGGAGGTTCAGGAAAAGGTAGATGCTGGTTCACTGCTCTCAGCATGCCACTGACCAGGACATCCAGTTAGCATGTATATTCCTCCCAAAACCAAATCAAAGGCAGAGAGAGATGTGATGGTTAGAACACAGTCAGCTTTAAAAAGTAACCAGACCAGGGTAGATGACCAGCAAGCCGAGTGAACTGTAATCCTGCCCTGAAGTCATTTCACACAGACATGTTGGGCACAGTAACCAAATAGCCTTTTATAACTTTATTCTATTAAAATGCGACCGAGCTATATGGTGTATAGCTCGGCCGCTTATCAAACTAAACGGACCACCAAAACAACCGGCTGTAAAAGGGGGGATATTCGACTGAAAGTGTTGTTTGACATTTGGAATTATGGTATTTGTGCTCTTTAGTGATGGGGTGGAAACGGTAATGAGGACTGCCAGAAAGCCGTCAAATCAGTTACTTATCAAGACTAAGTCAGCTGGCCGTAGTTCCCTTTGCTCTCCTGAGAAGAGGAACTCCTGTGTGGGAGGAAGGTGATGGAGACCGATCCAGATCGTTTCCACAAGCCCCCCACACCTCACTGAGATCTATCTCATACAGAAAAACGGGGGCGACTTTGGCTCAGTGGTCAAACGGGGTTGTCCTTTAATCAAGCGAAAAGTGGTTCGATCCCCGGCTCCACTACTCCATGCCGATGGGTCCTTGGGCAAGACACTGTCTTAAATGACTCCAAACTGTGCTGCATGGCAGGTGTCAGCTTCCAGGGTAGCTCTCATCACGTTGGGAATAGCTGAATGATGACATCTATGGTTCAAGGACTGGATCATCCAGTACAGTCACTTTATCAGTCAACTCCTCCTTGCATGATCAGATGATCACAGTCCCTGACTAATTTACCAGAATTTTGGATACTTTTAATCAAAGACTTGCCTCGCTGAACCAGGATCACAAGAGACATTTGAAGAGGTTCGAGGAGAGGACTGCTTTGTTTTACGTGACATGTTTGAGCTTGTATTACCTTGGAAAGCCACATTTTGTCTGATTCCTAATCCATAAAGGTACAGATCTGCTACCTTTCTGCAATGATAATAGACTAGCTATTGACCGATACGTATTATTTATTTTTCCAAAATATCTGGTCTTAAGTTATGCTACTTTGAGTTTAATAGTGGAGGTCCCCCCTGATGCAGAGTAGCTTTCTCTGCTATGGTGTCCAGAGAAGAACTGCATGTTCAAACTTCAAAGCATGAATGTGCAGTGCTGCATGAGCCTCCTGCCTTTGCAATTGCACTTGTCTCTGGCATGAATGACACATTGATGTAATTGATGTGTCATTTTCTTGCCAGATAGGAACTGATACACATATGGCCAACAGTACACACACAGTATAATAATGCTGATCGTGCTACTCTGTCATCCTCGTAATGGAAAGCTACAGCTGCAGGAATCTTTTTGTCCATCCGACCGCAGCTGTCCCTGACAAGTCAAAGATTTGATTAGACCCGCCCCCATTGTCTTCTTTGTCAGCTTTTCCCCATAGCAGTTATTTGAGGCTTATGGACTGATCACCAATAATATGCCAAATACAAACAAAGTTTCAAATATGGTTGTGGATTTCCGGAGGAACAGAGCCCCACCTTCCCCCATTACCCTGTGTGACTCCCCCGTTACTATTGTGGATTCCTTCCGTTTCCTGGGCTCCATCATCACCCAGGACCTCAAGTGGGAGCTGAACATCAGCTCCATCACCAAGAAGGCTCAGCAGAGGTTGTTATTCCTGAGGCAGCTGAAGAAATTCAACCTGCCAAAGACGATGATGGTCCACTTCTACACGGCCATCATGGAGTCCATCCTCTGCTCCTCCATCACCGTCTGGTACGCTGCAGCCACAGCCAAGGACAAGGGCAGGCTGCAGCGTGCCATCCGCTCTGCAGAGAGGGTGATCGGCTGCAATCTGCCCCAGACAAAACCTGTTTGTGCCCCTTCCATCTGGCAGGAGGCTGAGGTCCATCAGGACTAAGACCTCCCGCCACACCAACAGTTTCTTCCTGTCGGCAGTCGGGCTCATCAACAGAGCCCGGTCCCCCACTGCCTGACATTCCACCGGTCACTTTCTTTCATACCGCACATGTCACTTTACTGTCATTTTTCACTCGTCACTTTGTCACTTGTTCGCTAGTGCACTTTATTTTTTAATATTTTTTTACCTTTTAAATATTTTTAACTTTAACTTTATTCTCTTATTTTATACTAACCCATAGCCTGATTCTACTAGCCCATAGCATTAGCATTTCATTTTATTTTATTACATTACATTACTTGTACACTGTCTTGTTGTCTATAGTTACACGGTCTACTGTCACGCACCAACCGCCAAGTCAAATTCCTTGTATGTTTGACATATTTTTGCAATAAATTTTTCCTGATTCCTGATTCAAATTCATAATACTTAAAATGCTTCAAACCAAGACAACCTCTGAGCCTCTTAATATTGCATCCAAGATCAGTTGGTCATAAGCTCAAGTCAAGTGTATCACTATCTATTTGGAGGTCTGCATGACTGTGAAAGTGGTCAGGTGCTCCAAATGATGGCAGAGGTAACATATACAGACTGAAGGGTAGTGCATACAGGAAAGATCCTCCCCAAGTAGTGACTAATCTTTGTGATGAAAAGTTTTGTAAAAGAAAAATAGAGAAAGAAATGAGAGCTTTGTTTTTATTCTGGCCAATTGGTGGCACACACAAGTATAGTGACTGAAATATGTGTATGTCTGTGCCTTAGATACAAGCCCTGCAGAGCCAGCTGGAGTTCCAGGAGCAGTCCATGGTGGAGAAATCTCTCGTCAGCCGTCAGGAGGCCAAGATCCGTGAGCTGGAGACCAAACTGGAGTTTGAAAAGACTCAGGTCAAACGCTTGGAGGTGATTGCTTGAGACAGGCGGACGAGTGCTGGTGTTAGTACTGGAAACCATGTGAAGAGGTGGGAGGGTGAGATGTGCTGCTGGGGTCAAAGACGGAGAAAGGTCATAACATGCACATAAATGGAAGAATGCGAAATGCATCTTCACAATATTTCAGACTTTGTCCTTTAGCATTTGTTGTTGTGTCATGTTCGAATGGTTTTCTGAGACAAAAAGCACAAGTGAACGCTAAAGGTTACCATCTGCACGCTGCCAGGGAGAAATTGTAATCCTCTCTCGCCCACTGATAAAACAACACACCGCTCAATTGTGCTGGTTCAGTTTTATAATTACTAGCTGTGCAGGTCCTCTCCTCTAGGCACACTCCCTCTGCTCCCTCTTTTTTTTCTGTGGGGAAGTGTCCAGAGTTGGAAAAACACATGCAGAGATGATGCCTTTCATGGCTTCTCACCAGCCTTAAAGGTTGTAGTAGGTGAATATTTCAGGTTGCCTGAGTAGTATTACTCACCAATGCTGGAGGTAGCTGAACTCAATCAATCCAGAGGTGTGAAGAAAGTGCTACACCCACTCAGTATGTGAACTATCAAAGGGGTGGTGGCTAGTAGTAGCTATCTCCTCATCTACATTTTGTCATTGTACATCTGTAAGTTGGGGGAAAGTTTACATGGGTTTCAAAATGATTTACACATACACATTTAAAAAGTGTATGTATTCACCCCTTTACTGTTTAACCCCTAAGAAAGATCTGGTGTGACCAGTCGCCTTCACAAGTCACAGAGTACGTTAAAATAAAAATAAGAAGACATTATGACCACGATTTTAGTCAGGGTCCCCATGGCATTTGCTGCAAACATTCATGGTCCATTCAGGACTAATTATAATAGCTTAGATGATCCCTTGACCTCTAATTAAGCACCGTCAGCCATGCAAACAATTTTTTTCAGGTACCATTGAGACATGCCATCTGGTCCACGAATGTTAGTTTGATTATTAGATCAATGGTTATGGGTGATGAGAAGAATTATTAGTCTGGTTTCACGCAGGCTGTGCAATAACAGTCCAGGCCACAGTAGATTGGTTGAGATTGAGATATGTTGCCTTGCAGGGACAATAAGGCTAGTCATTTTAATTGAATAAAGCTGAATGAATGGATCAAGGCAGGTGGGTGCTTTAGGCAACTCTGTAGGTAAGAAGTTGTGAGTGTGCTTTAATATGCGGAGCATTAGGGAGCCAGGGGACAGGTAGGATAAGTAGAGGGACACAAGTCGTCTTTGGCTTGTTGAGGGACACAAGTCGTCTTTGGCTTGTTGAGGCCCAGACGTGCTGCTGCACTTTGGACCTTTGGCTTCAGCAGTCAGAGCAGCCCGCCGCTCAAAAGGAACCCGATCCCTCTGCCGGTACCTATAAATTGCTATGCAACACGCTCAGTGAAAGGGAGTTGACCGTTCACAACTCAGATATTTTAGCTGACTTTTTTGGAGAGAGCAAGGCTGAGCTAATGTACCAGAACCATATGCTAGCATGTGTGCTAGCACCTAGCAAGATGATGTCATGCTGTGGGCCAGCAAATGTTTAGCCGCCATTAACTTCTTTTGCCTGCCCCCCCAGTGTTGGCGCCGTGACTCATTCAAATGAAACCTTTTCAGACGCATATCTACACATAGAGTACCTTGTTGTTGAACCATCTCTCCGTACTGCTCCTCAGAGCCTCGTAGCTCGTCTTAAAGAGAACTTGGAGAAGCTGACAGAGGAACGAGACCAACGCAGTAGCAGCGAGAATCGAGAGAAGGAACAGAACAAACGTCTGCAGAGACAGATCCGCGACATCAAAGAAGAGACAGGTGAACTGGCCAAAAAGGAAGCCGAGGCCAGTCGCAAAAAACACGAGCTGGTGAGTTAACAATGCGACAACCTGCCAACAATTATAAAAGAGCAGGCAGCACACCTCGATGAGGGGAGCATGGGTAGGATCAATTGACAACAAATGTTCCTTGGTCCCTGCTGCACTGACTCTCGTCTCATTAACAGGAAATGGACATTGAGAGCTTGGAGGCTGCTAATCAGAGCCTGCAGGCAGACCTTAAGCTGGCCTTCAAAAGGATCGGTGACCTGCAGGCGGCCATCGAGGACGAGATGGAGAGTGACGACAATGAAGACCTGATCAACAGGTACAAACGTGGATACATCAGGATGGTTCTGCTGTCAGCTGAGTGAAGGTCAGCTGGATGTCACTGAACATATTTGGAAAACAAAAATATCACAGTTCTACAAATTCAAGTTTCCTAACTACCATTTTGTCGAGTTTTCAGCCATTCTCAACAGCTTCATCAGCAGGTTAATGACAATTTACCAGAAAATGATTATTCCTTTTCATTCATCATAATCTCTGATACAATCCAAAATTGGTTGGACAGTTTACTACATTTTCATGTCATTCCTGCAATTTCCATATTTTCTGCAATGCCACCCATTTTAGCACCCATTTTGGAAAGGCTTTGCTCTCAGAATTTTGCAGCATCTGACTGATCCAAAGATTACAAGGTATAGCTGCCTCTGCTCTACTCTCTAAGGAACATCCCACGTAACCACTCCTTAATTTATGGTCTCTTAGCTGTGTGAATGTTAAGCACTGATTGGCAGGTGGCACTGTGTATGTTAGCTCCTGTCATCAGTGTGTGAATGGGGGTGAATTATTACAAGAAGCGCTTTGAGTGGTCAGAAGATTAGAAAAGAGAAAGAAAGTCACAGTCCATTTACCTTCTGTTGAGGGAGATCAGACTTGGCAGCTTTGTCAGCTCAAATGTCTCACAAGTCCTTGTTTAATTATTGTTTGCACTTTAGAATGTGCCCACAATTTTTAACTTTACTTCGATTCATTTCAAACATGTATTTCTATTTGAGCTGTTTTATATCCCTTCTGGTAGAGTAGCATTGGTCGCTGAGGAGGAAAGGATAAAAATAGTTCCACAGTGGCAGATCACACCCTGTAGATAAGCCTGTTATGTTGAACTGCTCACTTCATTAGAGTTGATTTGTTTTCACCCGTCATGTGTCATACTGCCATGGGACCAAAGACAAATTCTACCTTCCAATCAAATCCCTCCAGATACTGAATGTTGTGGTAATTTACTACTCTTTTGGCACCTTGAATGGCCTCCCCTCCTCAGAGCAACACTGGCCTTATATATATACAGCAGTCCTGCAGCTGACCTGTAGTCCAACTCCATTGAGGTAGCAAGTACCACTGTTTGGTACAGCAGCCGTAGACAGCTCTGTGACTCATTAGAACATGCTCTGGAAGGACATCTTCTCCTCTGAGGGCAAGGAACAATATCAAGAGTAGGTGGTTGATGTCCCTAAAAACCTGTGTACCGTACAGATAGGTAGTCATCAGAGCATCTGCCATTACACACACATTTGCAGAGATATGTAGAAGCATCATTCACATTTCATGTATTTATTTTGACTTGATTATTATTTCTGATTTTCTTATTTATTGTCTTTTTTTTTCTTTCTTTCTGTCTGGTCTTTTCTTTTTTGTCCCTCCACTCTTCATCATCATGACCAGTTTGCAAGACATGGTGACAAAGTATCAGAAAAGACAGAACAGAGCGTGAGGATCTTGAACTGTTTTTATGCACCACTGGAAATGATGCAGTATTCTACAGTCTTTGAACATTTAGTCAAGCCATCCCTTTTTGTTGTCACGCTGTAGAGAAGATGATATATTTGAAGGGAAAATCTGCCCCTGATAGAAAATAGACATTTGGAACGCACCTGGAATTGCAATTTAAAAGTGACGTAATGTTGATTTTCCCTGGTTCCAGGTTTCAGTTTTCTGTGTCAGGCCATCAGAATCAAAGACCGATTGCAGATGCACACAGCCAACAATTCAAACAGAAGTCTTACGCAAGGATACAGGGCATCCAGGGAGAGATTTTCCTTTGATGTGTAAAGGCTGAGGGATAATGCATCATCAACAGTGCTCAGAGATTCCCCTGACCCCCAGTTTACGCCACCTCTTGATTGCACGGCCTCACATGCCGAGTTGCATGGCTACCACTGACAGTGTGTTGCTTAAGACCCAGCATGAAACAAGCCTGCCTCCTCAGATTCTCTGTGTGGTTAACCACTTTGCAAATCTTTGAATTGAAAGGCACAAATGTCCTGATCCCTCTGGTTCATCCCTGTGGAGGTCCAGATCATACTCACAGTTCTCCTTTTACATGGTAGGGGTGGGGGTCTACCGCCCCGGTCTCGGGGTGTCATGTCAGACACTGTTGTGTTGTGTTCAATCAGCAGCTGGTGTCAAGTCCGCCTCTTGGCCCCTGGGCCATCTTAATATTTCATCAGCCCATTCCAGGGCAGGATGTGACTGTAGCTCGGTCAGACCGCCCTCCTGACAGGAGAAAGAATGTCTGTGTTCCTCATCAATCTTTGACTCACCCTTGTTTAATAATGCAGAATCCTCAAATGTCTTACAAAAAGCTGTCTTGCTAACCAGGCGAGGAGCAGTGGGAACTTTTGCTTAAAAAAATCTGTTGGTCAAGGTTAGCGTAAAAAGTAACACCATGCCTATCGTAAATACATAACAGCTCTCCTTAGAATTATGTAACAAGCCTAGAAAAGGTTATTGTGCCGGAAAGGTTATTATGCCAAGTAACTTTTAATAACGGTGGCTTGATACCGTCATACTACTTTACTGGCTCTGACTGAATGATCAAACTTCCAGGTTCACCGTATCTGCTTTCACAAATGTGTGACTGTATTGTATTTACAGCCCAATTCAATTTGATCTTTGTAAAGCATTTTGTGGTGCGTCCTACAAACGGCCAACTGCTGTGGGACTGGATTTATTTTTTGCTGTGTCCAATGCTGGGCCAGCATATAATGTATAATATAATTGGTATAATAATTGTCACACTGTTAAATACAACACAGTTACTGTGTTCCATTTTCCTAATGTCACATAGTTAGGTCATAAATGTTTCTTCATGTTCATGATTAAGTTTTGGCTTTCTTACTGATATCGTCCGTGACACTGTGATGTATTGGATCCCACCCCCACAGCCAACTCCCTTCTCATGAATATTTGAATATGGTGACTTTACGGCATCCGTATGGAAAAGAAGGGCCTGGAGCTCAATACCTTAATGTGGCCTTTCAACGTCAATGTGGGTCGGTTTAGTTGCTAAATGTTGTAATCCTCATCCTTCAAACTCATCCTTAAAAGACCGTCCTAGTCTGGTAAAAACAGGGTCAATTAGTTTCCTTTGTGTATAGAAGGACATTACTGACATTACTCTCTAAAGACCTTTCTTTCTGGTGTTGGAATAATTTAAAATCTAAATACAGTTAGCACAGATAGTCGACTACACAATGGATGGCTTTTGTGGCTTCAGTTGGCTTTTAGTACAGCTAAAAAATGACTATTTGAATATTTGCAGTTCATATGACAAAAATGTCTGTGTTACCGCTTTGTGTGGGACTGTGTAGAGAGTTCTCATAACTTAGGTTTCCCTGGTGCCCTTGGAGACCATGTATATGCCCGTCTGTGCTCCAAAGCCACAGGGACTTCAAAGGGCCAATACTTTCATATATTTGAGGCATAAACTGTGGTGTCCATAAGACTCAGGGACACAAAGGAGCAGAGCAGGGGATCCATAGAAGCTAATGATGAATGTAATAGTGTGTAACAGAGATGTACAACCAATGGCAGCAGAATGTCACAGACAATTAATGTCTCCTCAGCACTCACACTGTTTGTTTGCTTCCCCCAGGCTTTCAGCGGAGCTTAACTAATGGTATGGTGAGCTAGGACATAAATCGTAGTTGACACCATGTGTGAAGTGCGCAATTACCTTTTGCCTACAATCCTGGTTGTGTCTGCAGACTGGAGAGGTCTCTCTCTGTGTGTTGTTACTCGCTAACTGAGATAAAAGCAATAACGACACATAATCCTAAACCGTTTTTAATTAACTTATCTGCAAAGTTTCAAAATGTTTATACTGAAGATATCATCGATAGAATGTATTGTACAACGTCCTTGTAACAATTGAAGCTTGACGACTGTTTTTAGACCCCGTGTGTCAGCATCCTTCCTCTATGCATACAGAATGTCCTGCGCTCTTCCATGACCATATTGTGGACGGAAAAAAGAGGATCCCAGTCCACAACATAAAATCAATCCTGGCAGCAATTGGGATTCTTCCAAAACATACTAGTCACAACCATTTCAGGGAGAAAGAGTTTTGAATCACTGCGATTACAAAGTGAAAGAAAAAACTACTGCACTTACTCCCCCATTTTCGTTTTCCCATTTACTCAAGGTAGGTGTTCTTATTTTAAAATGAGTGTTAACAGTGAAGACAAAGGTTAAAAGACTCTTTGAAGAAGTGCTGACTCACCAAACTCTGACTTACACGCACACCCCTCCAACGCTCCAACCCCCTAATTAAAGAGGGTTGTATAATGAGACGAGTTTCTTCACCCCTCATTGACTGAGGTCTTTCTGAGAAGTCCATAGTGCCAAAGACAAATATACTGGGCTGATCTGTCTTCATAACAGTAGGCAGCAGCAAATCCCCAGATTGTCTAATAGTAGAGGCATGTTTTGCAAAGCTATTTACAGCTTAAGAGTCTGTTGTCCGTCCTTCCTCCCATCTCTCTGTCCCAGTATTTCCATCCGTGAGTATTGTATTCCATTAAAGCCAGCAGACTATGCGTTTTGAGTTTACTGCGCAAGCCATTATTTGAAATCTCCTTTTTGGAATCCAGGAAGCAATTGTCTCTGGCTGCTAATGACTTTAGTTGTATGTGGCACTCGGCCTTTCAGAGCTCAGTGAGCTGTGGAAAAGAATGTTTTCCTCCTCTTCCTCAACTAGATGGGAGGCTTTCTGCAAGCGCTGCGGACCCACCCCTCTGAAGTCTTTGTAGGGCTAATAAGCTGGAACAACTTAATTTCACAGCCCCACACAAGCACTGGGCTTTGACGGCACTTAATGAGTCTTGGGCTCTTTTCATCTGTGTCAAATCTTTTGACACGCCCTCTATTTCACTCATTCAGCGTGGTTACATGGATTCCAATAACTGGCTTAGTCGGACTGAAATCGAATTATCCGTTTCATGTAAACACCTTTGTCCGACTATGTGCGGTCCGACTACGATCCGACTAACACCCCTGGATAACTCGATCCGATCCAGTTGATAGTTCGACTATTGCTGCATGTAACGGTGATTCGGATGAGGAACTGGACTTTGCGTCTTTGCGCATGCTTAAGATCCCAACGGCGTCTTCTCTCCGTTATCAAATCAGCCAATAGCACCATTCGCATTCGCTGTACTCCTATTAACATCATGCACAAATAGTAGAGGGATGTAGCTTCACCTTGCTCTCCGTTCGCCATCTTTCTCGTAATGTTGATGTTGTTGTTGTTGGTAGTGGTCAAGCGGTCAAGCGGAAATGGCTGAATCACAACTAGTTGTAATGAAAACAGCGCCACCTATCGTATCAGATATGACATGCTTTCGGCCAATGATTCGATTAATTCACTGCCATGTATATTGGGATAATAGCACTTCCCCCGAAAGATAGCATAGTCCGACTAAGCAATGATTCCAATTATACCATCATGTAAACACACTGAGTGGTTCACAGTGGTTTGTGAATGTATAATGATAATTGAGAGGAGAAACCATGCAGTACCCAGCTGTGTACCAAATCATTCTGTCAAGAAGGGAAGTTATGAGTGTATATGTGCGTGTAGAAGTTAACCAGCAATAAGCCAAGCAAGATTTGTATCATTCAAGTGCTGCTGCCTTTCGACACACAGAGATCTGCACTGCTTTTACAGTGTCCAATTCGACCTCTGAATGAATGTGTTGCTCTGCTAAAGCTTCACATAGGGACTGAGATAATCATTCCCCAATAACAAAAACATCAATACTGTGTCAACCAGTTTTTCATTTGAGTCCTGCCAACTCATGTTCGATAAAAGGCATCAAACATCACCACCAAAGTAATATCCTCAACAGATTTCTGAATGCAACGATGTAGGCACAAAACCTCAACACGGCTAAATAATGGCTTACACATATTGTTTTTTCAAAAGTCAGTAGGTTAGTGAATTGGACTTTTGAACTAGCACAGGATGTTGATTGTTTTGGAATGTAAAAGTGTCTCTAGTGGAGATCTCAGTGGTGTACTTTTATTGTACCACAGCAGTGTTGGGCAAATCTATAACCTGTTCCTACAATGCAAGCTCTACTGCGGGCTGTGGTCTCTGTCATGGTGCTACTACGGCTCTGAGGGCTTTTGGGAGAGTAAAGGTAGGATGTTTGTCGAATGCCTGAGTGCTAGAGACGCAGGACCAATAGTAACAGCCTGCAGTGTGGTGTTCACGTCTTACAACCTCTCGTGGGCATGTTTGTGTTCTTACTGAGGCCTTTAGCGCATGTGCCGTCTTTTATCCAGTAGAAATGTCACAATCTTTTATTGCTCTCACGCTAACAGCTTGTTCTGCATTCTCTGCTACAGAGAACTGCAGGAACATTTGTACCAGTCTCCACTTTCCTTTCACACCAACATTTCTTTTACCCTTTTCTCCTCTGTGAATGGCCCCATCTTACCTTTTCTCTTATTTTTGTATCCGAACCCATCTTTGCCATCTTGTCGCTCCTCTGCTTCCTCTGACTGTTTTTCCTGTCTCTGATTCTTACCAGTCAGGGGGATTCAGACACAGACTCTGAGGTGGAGGATCGTGTGGATGGGGTGAAGTCCTGGTTGTCTAAAAGCAAAGGTTCCACCAAGAACCTGTCAGACGACGGCAGCCTCAAGAGCTCCAGGTCAGTACAAAGGCAGCAACCATAAAGGCTGGCGCATGCTTCTGCGTCTGCGTCGTTGCGTCGACACACTCGTTTCAATTCATGGTTCTAAAGTCTTGCGTGTGTTGCAGAGCAATTCACCTCCAGAACAACAGGTGGAGTAACGTGTGTTTGTCGAATACAACCTAGAGAGTCACGTCTATTTATTTATTTATTTATTTGTTTATTTATTTATCATAGACTTTATTGCCCCGTGCATCACCACTGCTGCTTTTCATCGCGGACACATTTGTCCCGTATTTTGCTCCACAACTTTGTTCCCCTCGACCGGCAAACCAACGTTTGCTGAGATCTCCCTCCTTCAATCAGAGGCCATCCGCGCGTCCTTATAGTCCGCCAATGACGGGTTGTAGAAGCGGTCATATTTACGCATTTCTTCCGACAAAAAGTTCTTCAATCTGATCCGTTCTCTCGTAAACATTCTTCGTTTTAATAATGGCGGTATCGGGCTATGAAAACGGAAATGTGAGACTCCGTAAAGGATGTAGTTAGCAGACCAATCACAGCCTTGTGTGCTGCGGGCGCGAAAAATGGGTCGACGCACGCAAGGATGCAGGGAGGTGTGAAAAGGCACGCAAGGGGGTCTTGAGGGGGCTGCTTTTACTTAAATGTATTCTCAGGCCGCTGACATTATTGTTGCCTGGTCTTTGGAGAGGTTTTTTTTCCTTAAAACAAAGCACCTCTATGGTAAATTTACATGCCCAATGGGGAGCCGATTGATAATTGAATGTGTCTGTCCGCTGACAGCTTCAATTGCCCCAGATTTGTCTCCTTACCAGAAGATTTAACTTCCCACACCGAGCTAAGCCACTATCCACATTAGCCAAAATATTCAGATGGATTTAAAGTGGGTTTGTAAGGAATTTAACTCATTATTTCTTTTGTTTATTTCATTACGGTGGCCTTCATCTGGGCTTGGTAGGGTATGAAATGTCTTAACATTTCAATGTAGGAAAAAACCCATGTCATTCTTTCTATTGCTTTAATGTACATTATTCTGCTAAATATCATGACATTTCTGTTTCGACTTGCCATTCTTTTGTTTCTTATCCTCTTCCTTTTCTCATCTCACTTCCCACTGTCTTTATTCCTTTGTCCTACACTGTTGCTTCTTTCTAGATTTGCTGTAAATCTAGACGCAAAGGAAGGGAAAGAGTGGAAGGAGGGTAAGGAATGGAAAGAGGTAAAGAAAGACTGCAAAGAGGTAGACCCGAGCAGACCAATCTCAGTGATGAGCTCTCTCAGCTACAGAAAACGCTCCAACCTGGATTCCATGGGAGGCAAAGGAAATGCCCTCTTTAGTACCCTCAAGCAGAATGCAGAGGCAGAAGAGGCTCTGTGTCTCCATAAAGCTAAACCCAAAAACCCAGATCCTCAGCATGAAACCTACTCAATCAGCTCCAGGAGGAAGTCCCAGGCAGGGACTGACATGAATGACAGAGAATCTGTCATCTCACAGGCCTTCTCAGAGGGCCAACAGCCGGGCCAGGAAAGGTATGGACAGCCGCTGGGCCGACTTTGACAAAGAATCCGTCATTTCATACACTGCACCTATCCAGGCCTCTACACGTCTTGGGTTAAGCCCGGAGAAGGATACCAAGTCAACCATCAGCTTAGGTCTGTCAAGCCCACTGGGACGCTACAGAAGCTCCTCGCGCTTAGATGAGGGCAGAGGCGGGCGGTCACTGTATGGCAGCAGTCCCAGTAGCCCTTGCTTTAGCAGACGGTCTGGGGGGCGCAGTCCAGGAAGTGTTAGCCGAGCTGATTCCCATATGTCGGTGGCACGCAGTTGCCGCCTTAGCGAGTTTGATGTTGATATGGATGATAGTCGTAGTGTGGCCTTCACCGAGAGGTCAGCGTACAGTCCTCACTCCACTGGCCGCAGCATCTCCATGCCACCGCCACAAGCCAGATCATCAACTGCTGATAATGACCCCGATGGGAATACCCAATTTGATATCAAACCAGTCAGTCATCGCAACTACCTTGACCCTGACCTGGAGAAAGCCATTAATGAGGTGCTTAGTTTCAAACCCATCAAATTTAAGCGGAGGGGCTCTGAAGACTCCGATAACGGAGAAACATCTAAAAATGACAAAGACGACATCAAAAGTATCCGAAATGGAGATGCTATTTGCCCTGTCAGCAGTATCAGACGCAGTGTATCTGCATTGGATTGCATGAGATCGTCCCGCAGCAGCAAGAGCAAGAGCAAGAAAAAGAAGAGAAGCCATAGCTCAGAGACTGACTCTTCAGGAAACGACCATCGACACAGTAGCAGCTCCAAGAGGAGGTTCAAGAAGTCCAAGAAGAAGTCCAAGAAGAGGGACCAATCGTCATCTTCCTCCTCGTCTTCCTCCTCTTCTTCTTCTTCAGACTCTGAGCCGGACTCTAAGTCAAGCTCCGGAGCGTCAACCATTTCCTACCGAAGCTCCAGTAGTGTGAAGAGGGCTCCGGAGCGAAAGGTGTCCACCCCCGAAAGCGAAGGAAAAGCTAGGACACCAAGTGAGAGCCAACCCGTTAACAAAAAGGATGACAAAAAGAGGAAGAAGAGGGTGGACAACCTGATGATGAAGTACCTGTACCGGCCGGACAGTGACTGAGGCAGGCAGTAGGTGGTTGCCTGAACTGGACTTACCCAGAAGATTGTTTTTCAAGCATGATGTGACCTAACCAAAAAAATATTTTTTTAACTCTTGGCATTCAGCACATTCAATGTTCTCCATGCTGTCTGACTGTTATCAGACATTAACACTTTGGTATTCTAATTCTAAGTGTCTTTGGCATGCTAACAGTAACAATGTGAGAGGATGAAATCACATCTATCACAGTGCTTTGCATTTTGTATTTTTTGGGATTGATTCAGTCCTGTAGTAACAATAATAACACAAAACCTTTTTGGATGTTAGTGTCGTGTCACATTGCAAGCGTGTTTCTACCCACTAGATATGAGTGCTAGTGCTAACCTCACAATGTGCACAGCCAGCTTAAGGGAGCTGCAACACAAGAACACAAAACAGAAGGACAAACCAAAAGCAAATTACCCTTTAAATATATGAGAAAATGAGAAACTTTCACGATTAGATTAACAGACACAGTGCAAGTGATAGTAGATGGATGTGAAGTACATCGCAATCCAAAACTCCCTAAAAACACACAACATGGTAAAGGGCGAATGCCAGGTGTGCTTCTATTGCCAATGACAACACAATTGCACTCTCCTGAGCTCTCAGTTTAGCTGACAAGTGGTGGAATCAAACATATTGGGTGTTTGGGCTTTTCTCGTGGCCCCTGGAGGCTTGTTTTGTTATGTAGTTCAATTTTTGTGAGGCCCTGATTCAGGACCACTACGTGTCACCTTCTCAAGCGGCTATCTCCCAGGGTTCCTGCTCAGAAGGCTGTGAGGAAAGTTGAAAAACAAAGGATGGCAGGCAATCTTCTTAACGATCTTCTCTGTGGGATAGAAACAATGTCACAAAAGAAACCTATAGACTTACTCGGAGCAAGAAAGAAATTCAACACTTTCAAAGTATCAATGCTACGCAGTCACACGTTGGTCTCATTCATAGTTTCTTTTGTTACGTTCCTTCTCCACCTGCCACTGTGGGCCATTAAGAAGATGGCCTTCCTAGGAAAAGTTTATATTCTGAGTACTTACCCTTTTTAAATGTAGCGTTTGTGTTGTGATGATGAGGAATTTTACATTTGCTTGTGTTTTGACATGTCAATTGTGTATTGGGCTCTGTTAAACATTGTACTGTTCTCTGCTCATGTTCTTGATAACAAAATCAGCTTTTACTTGTTCTCTTCTGGTCCAGCCCCCCCGGCCAGAGACCGTACCGCTTCGATAGATCAGATGAGGAGGAGGAAGAAGAAGTAAGAGAAGAAGGCGGTGCGACCCTGGACCCTCAGTACTCTTGAAACAAGTGTGACGACAGCAGGGACAGGTCTTATGAGACCACATCGGAGTTCTCGCTGGCAGCACCCGCTCACCTCATTACACCGTGACAGTTTTTCTTGCATGCAAAGTTGACCACAATTGTAGAGAGTTGGACACAACCCCACAATTAATGACTCATAACCCTGCAGGGAAACATGCTTCCAGCACTTCATCAGAGCTTCCTAATGCAGATCCACACAGAATTTGTCAAACTTCATCAGCGTTCTGTCACTCACCAGTCACGTCACACACACAAACACACACACATAGAAGCTCTGTTATTAACAACTGCAGCGGGTTGCATGCACGCAGCAGGTGCTTGGCTTGAGCAACCCCTTTGTACAGCTGTAACTGAGCCAAAGAACTTATGGTTGCAGTGATAATAGATTATTTCTCTCTTTATTTGTCTGTCTGTTCCTCGCTTCTTTACATGTAGTACACCACAAAAAGATGTTTTGCCATTGCCAAAAAGCCTTTGTCAAAGTGCGTGTGTGTGCACACTGCTTTACGTATTGCCAATTAATGCTGAGTCCTGACAAAAGTCCCATCCTTTTTTTTCTCCTTTTTTCTGCCACTTCGACCATTTAGAGACAAGTGACGTTTGAGTGTCAAGTGTTAACCCCTTTACAGCTGTGGCATTTCATGAGCTGCACGTCTTACACTGAGGCTTATTGTCTCTTCACTTGAACACCTGAAAAGATGTTCTGCTGCTTTTATCCCTAACAACCAAGCATTGTTCTCTATTTGAAGATTTTGCATTTAGATTACCTACGCAGAAGCCTTTGTTCAATTTTTGAATTTCCCTTGGTTTAACTACATTCTTTACTTTTAGTAAGGAAAACACTTTGGCTTTGTCCTTGGGCTTGTTTTTCACATGTTGCCTGTGTTTGTTTGATGTCTGATGTGCTTTCCCTTTCCCAGAGCAATTGAATTTGATTTGGGTATCACTCATATATACGGTATTCTGCATCAGCAAAAAGGAATAACTGGTGCTGTTCTATATTTCTCTTTTTGTCAACAAACCACACAAAGGGACCACAACCAGTAGTGTTTTTTTTACCTTTGGCAACAAAATTATCACTCAAAGGTCCACTTTCCGGACCTTTATTATCTCGGTCTTCATTGAATGGAGTTGTCATTGCTCTATAGCTAATCAGTTTCTACTGAAGACTATTAAGTCTTTAAACATGGTTTAGAAATATATCACTTGTTTCCATCCACAGTATCAAATCCAAAGTGTTGACACTTAACTTCTCTGGAGGCTTTGTGTGGATTATTAGTGCTACAACTTTAGCCTCGCTAACAGAGCAGGACATGCAGAAGGCCAGAGTACACTGACAATTTATCTATCCCACATATTTTCAATAAAAGTGACATATCTATCAGCCAATAGCACTATCAAGAGCATTTGCTGATTGTGAAACATGCAGGTAGATCCACTGAGTGCAGTGACTGTTTGATCTGATCTATGCTTGGATTCATCTCTTTTCGTGGGTGGTAATGATATTGTAAGAAAAGTGTAGAATATCACCAGCATCTCCAGCCTCATTGTCTTTGACCGTAACTTTGCTAACTGGACACACTACAGCCTATTCAACCAATACTGTGAAATCATGTGCAGTGTCTTTCAGGCATGTTTATTCGTCAAGTGTATTTTTATTTAACCCAATGATGCCTCGAAACCGCAAGAAAATAAGAACTTGCATTCTCACGGTTGCTTAAGTGTTACACCGTCTGGTCTCCGTCGGTGTACTGAGCAGCATTACGGTGTTATTGAAAGCCATTTAAAATACATGGCCTTTAGGGCTGAAAACTAATTGTAGACATTTCTTCTGTCATTGTCGGAGTAGTTGGGTGTTATTCTACTATACATGCTTTTTGTATACTCGTGTCTTCGTTTTTATTCTTTGCAGTCAGCACAAGTGTGGAAATGTTTTTTTTTACTTTATTGACCTTGATAAAAGTGTCTTGCTTCAACAGAATAAAAACAAAAGTGCGGGCATAATAATGCTGACTGCACAACGTATTTATATATAAATATGGTTGTGATTGATGCTAGCTTTGAAAATAGTTCATGTTTATTTTCTTTATTGAACAAATTGACCACTTGTTATACGTTTTGCATCACAGTTTAATATATTGTAAATAAATGGTGCCGATTGTCTTAGAATGCATTGAAGACTGCATTTGTCTGAATTTACATATTTGGCTGCTGTGTGTCTTGAGGTCATGTCTCTCCATTTACACCTACATATGAACTTTACATGTGCTTTTTTCTGAGATTTCCACACGTTATGCAGATAAAACCAAAAGTTAAACCGTGTTGTTTCCTGATTCAATGGTATTTTCATCTGCTGTGACAGGCCCGGTGAATGCCTTAAAGCAACAAAGTCCATTTCATTTATTTATGATTTCAATTCAGGGGAACAGTGAATATTATTCTCTCAAAGCTGGGCTATAAGAACTAATTGCTGAAACCAACACATTTAGCTGAAGGCAATAGGATATTTGTTGGAGGGATCCAATTTACAAAATTAGAAAATAATTCAGTCTAAGTAATAAATGCTGATAAATGATACACAAAAAGCTTACTTAAATTTAACGATTAGTATGGCCTTTGTGGTGTTACATCCATTTATTAAATTGTTGGTGGTGACTGAGATAACAGCCCATGAAATCATACTATGAATTCTATAGATATAAAGATAGTTTGAAAAAATTGTTCAAGTATTATTATTTGAAGGTCTGTGATAAAACGTCCATCCTGCATGAACATCCTCCACAAAGTCTCTGTCTCTACATTTGGACACACTACTTCCCGCTCCATTAAACATTGGCATCGGACGTAATCACACGTTGCAAAATCATCAAATATGGTTGTAATCCTTTGGCTAGTAAGCTACTTTGATATCAGAACCCTGGTATTCATGATGTGTCTTTTGAAAAAAATAAAAGGTACATGAACATGGCTGTAATACCACTAAGACAGATATATGTGAGTTGCCAGCATGTGTCACACCAACCTCTAAGGAGTGAAAGAACAGAGTCTGCTCAATTCAATTCATTTTATTTTGTATAGCCCAAAATCGCAAATTAGCCTCAGAGGGCTTTACAGTCTGTACACATACAACATCCTCTGTCCTGAAACCCACCATCGGCACAGGAAAAACTCCCAAAAAAATGAAAAAACCCTTCCAAGAGGGAAAAAAGGGAAGAGAGCTCAGTGCTCCTCTGCATAGTTTGTGTATGCAACTCGAACATGCAGCATTACAGGCAGAGTAACTGAGTTCAAAATTACATTTTGACACCAGCAGCATGCTTTTGCATTTAAAGCTGCAGATATGTCTCTCTTTCGAATGTAGCATTGTCAATAAGAATGTCTGATGGCGAAAGTGCAGTGGCATCACACTGTGCTGCAAAATAACAGCACAAACTTTTGTTGGAGAGTGAGACACTGAAACCACTGTTTACACAGGTAGAGGGAAATGAGAAACTTGTCTTGAGTGTAACCCCTTGTTTACTCCAGTGAGCCAACAGCAGTAACTCTACAGCAGGCCTGTAACTGTACGTAAAACCTCCATGAATGGAGGCAGGAAACTTCACCAGGATTTACAGTAAATGGACTATACTTGTACGGCAATTTGAAGTATTCCGACACCTATAATCTCTTTTCACTACATGTCATCAACCATTCATAAACTGATGACAGCAGGTACCATACACAGGCCACCTGTCCTTCAGTCACCACATTCACATCATTCACACACAACTACGAGAACCATTTGGCATAAAGTGTCTTGCCAAGGACACTATAAGACAGCCGGAATAACACAGTAACACCCTGTTGCTTAAGGTGTGGACTTCATCAGATTTGACAACAGACTGTTGAAGCTTCATTTTAGCAGGGTCGTACTTGAATCGGGATCAAACTCACGAGTACGTTGTCATTTAAAATCTCTTCAGGACAGTGCAATTGACAGAATCATTTATTAATGACCTGCAATACTGAAAGTTTTTCATCTTTTTTAGACACACGATTATCTAGCAGAAATCCTGAGGATACACTTCTCACACTAAAAAGTCCCTGTAAATCCCAGCTGTGTACTTAGAGTGAAGTGGTCCAGGTCCTTTTTAGCACTAACAGGGACACTTGCTACTGAACATAGAGTATTGATAGATAGATGTTCATGCTGCACCCTAATAAATAGACACGTTCATGTCGTTACCTATTCTGATTAAGAAACAAAAAAAAATTATAATGCCAGATCATCAAGGTTAACTTGTACTAAAAGATCTAGTTGAAATGTTATTTAGTAATTAATAAGTATCCACCTCCCTTGGACTTTTCTACATTTTGTTATGGTACAACCACACATTCAAATTTATTTTATTGCAATATTATGTGTTGACTGTCACAAAATAGTAAGTTTACGTGGATTTTAAGATGATCAACAAAATAATGTGTTCAGTGTGTATTCACCCCCTTTACTGTAAAACCCCTAACAAAGAGCTGGTGCAACCAGTCAACTTCACATAATTAGTAAATAGGGTCCATGTGTCTGCAATTTAATCTCTAAATGCACCTGTTCTGTGAAGTCCTCATTTGTTAGAGAACATTACTGAACAAAGAGCATCATGAAGACCAAGGAACGCAGGGATTTTGTAGCGAAGTATGGGTTAGGTTATAAAAAAATCTAATTTTACTGAGCACCATAAATCCATCATCAAAAAATAGAAAGAGTATGAAACATCCACAAACCTACCTAGAAAAGGCCATCCAGCCAAACTGACAAGCCGGACAGGGAGAACATGAATCGGAGAGGCCTCCAAGAGGCACATGGTAACTCTGGAGGAGCTGCAGAGATCCACAGCTGAGGTGGGAGAATCTACTATTAGCCGTGTATGTGTGGTTTTATTTCCTGTCTTATTTTATAGTTTTCTGCTTCTTGTCTCCCTGGGTAACTTCACTTCCTGCCTTGTCCTGTCATCGTCTGTGATTGTCTGATTGTTTCCACCTGTGTCCAATCACCTGCACCTTCCTAGTGTATTTAAGCTGTGTGTGTCTCCTGTCACTGGTCGTTGATTGTCGTCCTGGATGTTCTTTGTCCCTGTCTTTTGTCCTGGATGTTCCTTGTTCCTGCCTGCCTTTTTCCCCCCGGTTTGTGTGTGTGTGTGTTTTTGCCCGTTGGCCTCTTACTTTGTTGGAGTTTTGACTATTAAAGTCGCTTTTGTTTAAAGTCTGCGTTTGAGTCCTGCCTCCCCACACAACCCTGACAGTGTACTCCATAAATCTGGCCTTTATGGAGCCGTGGCATTCTTGCAGCTGTTGAAAGTAAACCATAAGAAACCCAGTTTTGAGGTGTCCTGAAAACATCTGAGTCTGTGCAGTCCAAGCACGCCCAAAGATCCTCTACCGCCTCACTGCTTCACTTCTTGAATTCCATCACCATAGGTTTGCAAAGCTCAAGTCTGCCTGTATGCAGGAATCAGATGGCCCATTACGGATCATTTTTTTGAAAATCAAAATTATAATCTAAGCAAGCTCCTTCATAGTTCGGTAAAGTTGGCAAGATATTCACAGATTCAGACTTTATAAAAGGTTTGACGAGAATGTCCAGCAATTCGACAGAAGAAATAAGAAAAGTCCCTGAAAACAGAAAACAGAATTAAAAACGACAACAATATAAAACAAAGAGCACTGACACACCGAGAGACCATCTGCAGCGCTATCTTGGTACGATACCAAAATGAAACGCTATGGGGAATGGAAACCCAGCACTGCCCATAACCCTGAGTACACCGTCCAACAGTAATGGTATATGGTGGTGATAGCATTGTACTGTGGGGATGCTTCTCTTCAGCAAGTTCAAGGAAACTAGGCAGGATTGAGGGAAAGATGGATGAAGCCAACTACAAGGCAATCCTTCAAGAAAACCCGATGCAGTCTGCAACTCCTCTTCAATGGACAATGATCCTAAACATTCGTCTGGATCTACCGTGGAATGCCTTAGATCAAAGGATGTTTGTGTTTTCAAATGGCCCACTCAAAGCCCAGATCCCAATCCAATTGAGAATCTAGAGCAAGACTCAATCAAATCTGATTGAGCTTCAGCTTTTTGCCAAGAAGAATGGACAAACATTTCCATCTCTAGATCTGCAAAGCAGGTAGAAATACCAACCATACCAAAAGACAGCCAAGTATTGACCCAGAGTATATTTTTTGCACCTGCATGTGTGTTGATCAAATAGGAAAAATGTATATTTAAGTCTATTTGAATACTAGTTTGTAACAGTTGGAAAAGGCCAATTTTCCAGACAATTGGAAAAGGCCAAGGAGTATGATGTTTAAAGTGTTTGCACAAGATTCAATGCAATTAAAAATGGTATTTGTTTGCCAGCCATAAAAATACATACATATGACTGGACACGCTGTCAACCTTAAAACTATCTTCTTGTGAGGGTGTTACAAACAAACAAAATGTCAGAGAGCCTATGAATGTCATCTGTTCAATGTGAATCCTTAAACATCCAGTGTAGAGCAGTACATTCATAACCTAAGCACGGTGGGTATGTGTCTGCTGGTGAACCTGCATGCGTGTGTAGACTTTCATTAGGAGCTCAAAGTGTCCTTGATGGACAGCAGAGTGAGACCAAAGATGTAATCTGTCTTTTCTGATCAATATTCAATCTAATATTTTGAGTTGCGGGAGGAATGTTTTCTGTATTTTGACTTTAGAGAGGCGAGAAGGTCCTTCAGATAGTGCATCTGGGAATTATTTACAGCGCTTCACTTTTCCCACATTGTTATGTTACAGCCTTATACCAAAATGGATTAAATTCAGTTTTCCATCACTTCTACACAAATTTCCTGTATTCACAGCTTTTGGTCAATCCTTTGTTGAAGCACCTTTGGCAGCAATTACAGCCTCCTGAGTATGATGCTAAACGCTTGAAACACCTATTTCTGGGCATTTTCTCCCATTCTTTTTTGCAGAACCTGTCAAATTCCATCAGGTTGGTTGGTGGAGAACCTTCTTCAGATCTCTCCAGAGATGTACAATCAGGTTCAAGCCACTTCTTTGTGGTCTTCGCTTCGGGTTGTTAAAAGATGAACCGTCGCCCCAGTCTAAGGTCCAGGAGCAGGTTCTCATTGAGGGGTGATGTGTCTGTAACTTCCCTGCATTCATCTTTCCCTCAATCCTGACTAGTCTCCCAGTCCCTCCCTCTGAACATCCCCACAGCATGATGCTGCCACCAGGTGATGTAAAGCGCCTGGTTCCGTCCAGACATGACGCTTGCTAATCAGGCCAAAGAGTTGAAT